CTGGGATTTGCAACTGTGATATCTCATTCAGATCCAAGCTCTGATGTGTGACTTCTGAGAGGTAATAATGGCTCCTCCATCCTGAGGTCAATACATTTCTGTGTATGTTATACTGTGCTGTGCTTAGTCATTCAGCTGTGTCTGACTCTTTGCGACCCCATGGACTGTAACCTGCCACGCTCCTCTGTCCATGGGGATTCTCCAGGCAAGAATACTGGAGTAGGTTGCCATGACCTCCTCCAGGGGATCTTCCCAACCCAGGGATCGAACCCAGGTCGCCCACATTGCAGGCAGATTTTTCTTTACCATCTGAGCCACCAGGGAAGCCCCTCTCTATGTATACTCAGGGTTAATATCTATATCATCCTAACTATGACACCCTACCTATAGAACAAAACAATAATTAAATAGCAAATTGCTACCACTTACTTATTGTTTGTTCTGTGCTAGGCACTGTTGTAAATACTTGACATTTAAGTCATATTACAAGTAGGTCATGTTATTCTTCTCATTTTATAGGCACAGAGAGGTCAAGTAACATGTCCAAAGGCAGCTATTATTATTACTAACTAGATGACTTACTTCCTTTTTTAGGATTATGTTAGTTTTCTCATCCTCCAAATGGGAATGTTTGTTCAATAAAGGTCCTGCCTTCCAAAGAAGACTGCTAAGAAAACTGATTCCTTGTCTAAACGTGCTGAGGCATCTCTTGGGGCAGAGAACAGGGAACAGCTAGGAGACAAGGAAATCTGGGCCCCTGACAGGACTTGCCACAGATGGGCTCAGGGTTCCCACTGCTGGTTCATCTGTCCATTTATCCAACACGCCCAGAAGAGCTGCCCTGAGCAGGGCTGGGGCATAGCACTGGGGTGGAGAGCACAGCCCATCCCAAAGACTCACTCCCTTTTCCTTGGCTGCCAGGAGATGCTTCCTCGGCCAGGACCTGCCTCTGGGAGCCTCTCAGGGGTGAGTACCGGGAACCAGGACCTCAGCCCAGCCTGGGCTCTGGGCTGATGTGCCCCCTTGGGGGAGCGGTGCAGGTTGGTGGGTATCCCCTGAACAGGTTGCCTCCCTGGGTTGGGGCACTGGCTAACCTGGGCCTCTGTCTACTCCTGGGTCAGAAGGAAGTAGATCCTCTGACCCCAGCATCCTTTCTGGACACCAGGTTGAGAAGCGCCGGTGAGAGCTGGCAAAAGGGTGCTTGGGCAGCCCAGAGGGTTGGCCTCGGCATGAGGGTCTTGGGACACTCTTGGGAGTCCAGGGAGCCTCAGGAGACTGGACACCTGCTGGACATAGAGTGGTGTTCACAGCCAGGCTCTGCTTCCTGCCTGGCCTATCCAACAGCCAATCCCCTTGGTTGTTGTGGGATGAAATAACATGAAGGCTAGGAAGGTGTCTATTATTATTACCAGCAGTCAGAGCTGAGGTTAGACACCAGGAAGGCCGTCCCCTGGTTCCCCTCCTCTGGGGAACGTTCTGTCGCAGGTGGGGCCGCGCCAGCCTCCAGGCCGCTCACCGGCTCCTCCTCTCCCGCAGGGACGCGGGCCCTGGTGCTGCGACTCGGGGCGCTGCGGCTGCTGCTCTTCAAGCTGCTGCTGTTGGACGTGCTGCTGACCTGCAGCCGCCTCCGCGCCCCTCCCGCCGCGCGAGAGAACCCGGCCGGGGCGTCTGGCCCTGGGGCCCCCGGTCTCCCCGCGCCCTCCGAGGTGCCCCAGGCGGGTAGCCGCCTCCTCTCGCAGCCTCCGCCGCCCCAGGGACCGTCCGCAGGCCCCGCCGACCGGATTCGCCGCAGTCATGGGGGGACCACAGGCCGAGGTCTCAGCGTGTCCGCCTCGCCAGCGCTGGAGGCCCGGGACCGCCGCCGCCGCCGGGTTCACACCCGTCGTCCGGGCCGGGATCCCAGGAACCCAGTCTGGGGGGAGGGGCCGCCGGTTCTCAGGGCCTGGAGCTCGGGACCCGCCTTCAGTCTTCCCACCTCAAGCCTTGGAGCATTTCTCTATACTCTGCCTCCTCCAACTGACCCGAGCTTCCCCGGGGGCTAGGCTCCGTCTCCCCCTCAGACTGAGGTTCTTTCTGAGCTAAAAAATCTTTGTCTCTCCGATTAGATTGGAAACCCCTTGAGGGTGGTAATCCACCCAGGCACCAGGACATCTGAGGTGCAGATAGTTGACAACAATTAAAGAACTTATATAACACAAGCAAACAAAAAGTCTTTTAATTAATGTCTGCTCTGGGAGAAGGGTATTTGGCACATTTAGAGGAGGCAGAAATCTGGGAAGGCTGCCTGAGGGTGACAGCCTGGAAAGTGGGGCTGGGAGTTGGGGAGGATGCAGTCCCACCTCTGTCTCCTTTCCCCATCATCAGGCACTGGGCAGACCCCCTCTGTCTCCTCACAGCTGCCCAAACATTCTGAGAGGTCAGGGGGAGGGGCCCAGGAACCCAGAAAGAGGGTGTGCTGGGCCTGATGTGAAGGCTTGTATAGACTCGAGGGAAATGATCAGGGCCAGGATTCCAGAGTAATAGGATCATATCCAAGGGCAAGAGCACAGACAGTAATTCTAAGGGTATACGTCATTAATCAATTAAGATCATTATTCACTTGACAAATATTCACTGAGCATCAACTCTGAGCCAGGCACTAGAGAGGCTTTTGTTTTGTTTCTTCAACAGGGTTTTTGCACTGATAGAATGAGGCTCCCACAATGGAGTGTAACCTGTATGTCCCCTGTTTATCCAGTGCTGGCAGGAAATCCAGGGCTTTCTCTCCAGTCATCACCCCAAGAATCTGGATGCTTACATGTGAATTCAGATGTCCCCCAGGGCAGCACAGGACAATTACCTGGATCAATGGCCCTACTGTAGTTTTCCTTCTCCCAAGAGGCAGTGGTGAACCCCATTCTAACACTGCCCACCCCCCCCCCCCCACACACACACAAGGTGTCAATGACACTCCCAGCTTCCCAGAGCCTCTAAGCCCTCTCAGCTGCTGTTCCATGAAAACCCTCACCTCTCCTCCACTGGACACTCTCACCAGCCTGTAAGGAGGTTCTCCCACCTCTGTTTTGGATTCTCCAAGAAAGAGGACACAGCTTCTGGGGGTCAATCTGTCCACCAGCCCCACAGGGTCTGCTCCTTCCCTAACACACAGAGGAAGGGGTCGACTGGGTGGGGGCAGGGGCAAACGCAGACTTTCTACAGTCACTGTCCCTTCCCTGCTCTCAGTCCATGTGTTGAACCCAGAGCTCCCACCAAACTAATTTATGTCTCAGTAAGTGTGCTCTCAGAGGCCCTTTTGTTTATTCTGGAAGCAAACCTCCCTGAGCTTCAGTGCTTCTCCCCCTCTTGCCCGCCTTCCCCCAATCCTGCCCTGCCCCAGACTCTGAATCCCCACTGTGGCTGGCTTAACATCATTTCCCAGGAGGGCTCCTGGCCAGACTTTGAGCTTCCCCAAGTCTTCTGAAGCCTAGAGAGCATGGAGGACCTCAGGACGGTGATCTGATCCTCTATATTGTGGAATTCTACACACCACAGCTCCTGCTATCCAAGAGTGCCCTGTCAGCCACGGAATTGTTAGGAGCAAGAAGCTAAGATCAGAAAATGACAAGTCAACAGACTTGAGCATCCGTCCTTTAAAGTCTTTATAAAATACCATAAATATCCAACCTCCAGGAAGGAAACAGGAGGCACTGGAAACAGGGATTTATGGGCAAAAATGGAAGTGGCAGGCAACCTCCCAGAGAAGCAGCCTTGCTCTGTGTGTGTCCCTAGACCATTGAGCTCAGGGGCAGCATGAAGCCATCCCCCAAAACCCAGAGAGTCCTCTTCCCGATGACACAGCATAAGGAGCTTTCACCCAGCAACTCCTTGTGCCAAGCGCCCTGATGCCGGGGATGTGGACGGGAAATCAATCGTTCTCTAGTCAAGTCCCTGCCTGTGGGAGTTCAGAATCCAAAGAAATAAATAATAGGCCAGAAAAGGAAGCGAGATCACACACTAATATGAAAGTTAATGCATGAACTTTTTACAATCCTCTCGATAAGCTTTAATTCTATTAACCCGTTCGAGCTTCCCAGGAACAGGTAAGCCTTGAAGGTCAGCTAGGAGGATCACTTTGTTGTCAGATAAAAACTGAGGCTCAGAGAGGAAATTATTTATTCTAGTTACCACCGGGATAAACTTAGGGTTTTATGCGACAGGCGTGTGCATACTCAGTTGTGTCCGCGACCCTACGGCGTTTAGCCTGCCAGGTCCCTCTGTTCAAGGGATTCTGCAGGAAAGAGTAGTGGAGTGGGTTGCCATTTCCTCCTCAAGGGTATCTTCCCCACCCAGGGATCGAATCTGTGTCTCCTGTGCCTCCTGCATTGCAGGCGGATTCTTTACCGTTTGAGCTGTCGGGGAAGCCCAGGGTTACTGGGCACAAAGAAAGCTGCTTGAAGGCAGGGGACTCTGAATCGTCCAGGTCTCATCCACAGCACCTACTAGAGTGACAGTAACAACAAAAGCAATAATAATAATAAGACATAGGGCTGGCTGCCTTATGATCCTAGGGTAAGTGGCGTGCAAGAAGGCGGAGAAGGCAGTGAAAACTGTCTCTCCCATACCTTTCAGGACCAGAGCGTTGCTCCCTCTCCCCTAATCCTGGTCCTCGAATCCCTCTCAGAGCCTCCGTTAGGAGGTGGGAAAAGATGTTGCCATAGGTCACCGAGGACACCATCCGTTCCCTCATTGGCCGAGGCCGAAAAAAGATCGTCCTCCCATTCGCTAGAAGGCAAACCCCGAAAAGCCCATTGGCTGCCGAGTCCGCGGGCCTACGTCGTTCTGGGGGCGGGCCGAGGTAGCTGGACTGGGAGCTGGTGTGTTGGGGGGGGGGGGGGCCTCGCCGTTGCCCCGGTTACGCCGAGGCACGTGTGCAGTCCCGGAAGCGGCTCCGGGAAGCTGCCCAGCGCGCGCGGCCGGAGGAAGCACAGCCCCGGTCCCGTCGGGTCGGGTCCGGCTGGGCCATGGAGCCGTTACCTGAGCCCGCGTCCGGGCCCCGACCCAGGCCCCACCGTCTTCTGCTTCTTTCCCTGCTATTGCTGCTGCTGCTGCTACTGCCGGCCCCGGAGTTGGGCCCCATACAGGCCCGAGCCGAGGACACCGACTGGGTTCGACTGCCCAGCAAATGCGAAGGTGAGGGGGCGGGGCCCGTGGGGAGTATCCTGCTGGGGGGCGGGGCTTGCGGAGAAGGGTTGGGGGAGGGACCGTCCCGGGCTCTGAGCGGGTCTCCACTCCTGGAACCTCCTCTGTGCCTGGCACTGTGCTGGACGCTGGGAACGCAGGGGCGACCGAGAGATCAGGTCTCGGTGCACCTGGAGCTCAGAAATTGGTGAAAACAAGCAGTCATAATGGGGGTGGTAGGTGCCATGAGACAGGAGGCGCCGGGCTTTGGGGCTGGGTGAGGAGCATCTAAATCTAGACCCTAGATGCGGGGAAAGACTTCCTCCTGGAAGCCCTGAGTGGTTAGGAGTTAGTCGAGTGAAGAGAAGCGAAGTCACAGATGCAGAGGCCTACAAGCAAAGGACAAATTTGAGGAACTGAAAAGATTCACATGATCGGTCTTGGGGGAAGAACTTGAGAGGTTCCCCTTGTGCCCTGACCACAGCCGGCTGTGTGTCACCGGCCGTCTCCTCCACTAGCCGTGAGCTCCTCCAGGGCAAGGGACCTTGTCTCAGGTAGCTGTTCACACACAGGCATGAGTGAACGTGGGTGAAGCTGGGGGTGCTGTGGGTGTGTGTGGAGGAAGGAAGAGGGTCTGAGACCTAAGGGGTCACTTTAGGAGAAAAACAGAACCTGGGGGAACTTGGTGAGAGAGGGAGATTTTAGGGATATGGGAAGAGTGAATCCCAAAGACAGAGAGGTGGAAGTGTGGCACTTGTGTGCGTGAGAGAGAAACAGAGATACGGAGGGAGAGAGATGGAGAGAGAGAGAAACATGCCCACACACACACCAGCCAAGGGCCTACCTTTTTTTTCCTCCTCTCCTTTTCTCAGTTTTGTCCTCAGACCTTTACACGCACTCCTCCGTTCTGTTCTCACCTCTCTAACCCCAGCCCCTCACCCCTGAAAGCTGGCTATAAACCAGTTGCATCCTAATTCAAAGCCTGTAGCCAGCCAGATATTTCCTGAGTGCTGGGAAGTGTGGGTGGTTTGGGAGGCATAATCCTTCCATTTGAGAGATTAAAGGTGATCTTCAGAGATGAGCTGACCTCACTGGTCAGTCTTCCAGTATGGGTTCTAGCCTGTACTTTCTCCCTCACTATCTTGAACAGACAATCACAGGGTTATAATGCCTTCCTTTCACTCTTCTGGCCACAGCTAAGATCCTTTGGGGATTTCACTTCCCCTTCTCATTTTCTATCTTATTTTGATGCCAAAGAGCCCTTATGGTTTCTCTTATTGTTCGCACAGCCTAAGAAGCTCACACTTCTTTTCCATAGGAGACTCATAAAAGCATAGAGCTGGCAAAAATCTTTAGATCATTCTAATCCAACCTGATTTTGTAGGTAATTGATAAAGAATAAAAGGGATGGCTTTTCAGTCACGGGATGGCTTAACCTAAGTGTATTTTTACTTTTATTTATCACTGTGACACCTTAGTTGTTAAGTGTTGACTGGCCCACAAAACCTGCCTCTGGCTTAGTAGCTTGAGTGGAAGAGGCCTTGGCAGAGGAAAGAGAACCTGCCCAGAAAGAAGTGGGTGGATGTTCATGGGGATCTGGGGTCTATGCCATGAGTCTCCTCCAAGTGTGGTTCTGGGTGGGATCCCCAGAGGGGGTCTTGAAGAGGTAAGCTCTGGAAGAGTTGAGAAGCAAGGTTGTACTTGATGGATATAAGAGATATGGATTGATGGGTTCCAACCCCCCCGGGCCTGGCATACTACATATTGAGCACCTGGGAGAGGTGGAGCATTGGAGTCAGAAAAATGATGAGCTCACACAGAATGCAGGACAGAAGAGGGTGGGAGCCTCGATGGTCCTGGATGGAGAGCCAGGGAGGTGAGACACCCTCAGTTCATCCCAGACTCTGGGATCAGTGGCTGACATTTTGCAATCTTCATGTGTTCCAAGTTCTCCAAGCCATCTATTAATGCATATGTTATAAAATTTCACCAAGCAGGCCTGCAGGGGATTTGTTTGTTTCGGTGGTAAATTGGTTTTCTATCCAACTCTGCTGTTGTTGTTAAAACAATGCTGTTGACTGTTGTTGTTAAAACAATGCTGTTGACATTTAGCTTGCAGATCATACTCCATTTGGAGACATCACAAGCTGCTCGATCACAAGCGCAGTCTTCGGGCAGTACTTATCAAGTATCCAGCACATACCAAGTCCCAAAATAGAGGAATAAGGAAGAAATCCAGCCCATGATCTTCACTTAGAGTGCCCTTGTAGTCTAATTGGAGAGTCACATGAGATGATCAAGGCCCTTGGTGAGAACATGGTCCTACAGAGTCTCAGGATGAAATCAAGACCTGGTGGGACTCATCCAGAAGGGCTTCCTGGGGGAGCAGGCTTTTAAGATGAGGTGGAGAGAAAGGACAGACAAGCCCTAAAGCCCTAGAGGGCATCACGCACTTCCCTAAGGCCCCAAGCACTGCACACTTTCAGTGGTAGCACTCCTTATGCAACAGTAATTATTTGTTTACACTTCTTTCTGCTCCATTAGACTGAGTATCTGGGAGGGAGGGACCTTGTTTTCCTCTCTGTATCCCCAGGCAGTGCCTGACACATAGGAGTTGCTTAATAACTATTTGAAGAAGAGTAAGAGGAAATGAGAAAATAAATGTACAAAAACAGTAGAAACAGGCCTGTGGGGCGAAATGGAGCAAATTAACTTGGTAGGACTAGAGAACTGGTGTTGAAATAACATATGAAATCAAGAAATAAAACAGCCATAAAAGACATCTTTGGAACAATTGGAGAATTTGAACATGAAGTGAGTATTAGATGAGATAGGAATTGTTAAATTTTCCAAGAATGGTGATTGTTTTATGATTAGTAGGGGAAGGTCCTTGTTTTCAGGAAGTGCTCGATGACTTGTTTAGGAGCAAAGATCATGATGTCTTGCAGCTTATTTTCAAAATGGTTTATCAAAAGCTGTGTATATTATTGACATCTATTATTATCACATTGCTTTATATTATAAATCGGAAATAGTGGTAAATCACTGTTGTGTTTTTTTTTTTTTTACTAATAGCTCTTTTTGTTCTCTTTTTCTTTCTTTTTTAATTTATTTTTATTCTTTTTGACTAACAACTCTTGACTGTGAATGTAAGGTATATGGTTATTCATTGTACTCTTTCAGGTTTTCTATATATTTGAAATTCTTTTCAGTAACATAAATGATGGTGGGGGTGGGGGGCAGGAAGGGGCTGGGAGAAATGGAAGCAGTAGGATAAGGGCCCAGAGATGACAGGAGGCAGTGGATCTTGGAGCCTACTTTCACCCACTGAACTCTACTGCTGGTCTGGTGCTGACTCCTTTCTCTGCCCCAAGCATCAACTCAACCCAGTCCTGGAGAGGCGTCCGCTTGGGTCTGTTTTGCTGGGAGCCAGCTCCCTGCAAAGACTCAGATGCACTCAGCAGATGGTGCTGTGTCTTCTTCCCCCAGTGTGTAAATATGTCGCCGTGGAGCTGAAGTCAGCCTTTGAGGAAACTGGCAAGACCAAGGAGGTGATCGACACAGGCTATGGCATCCTGGACCGGAAGGCCTCAGGCGTCAAATATACCAAGTCGTAAGTAGAGGAGAGGGCAAGCGGCAGCAGCCTGCTCTGCTTTGTTCCTTGAGGCATCAGCATCTTGAAGTTCCCTCTCCCTTCCCGCTAGGCAGACCCACCAAAAGGAGGCAGCTCTAACTGAGACCCAGGTTTGCCTACTGCTTCTACCCTGAACTGATTGTATGGCCTTCCTAAATCCCCAAGTGCCTCTGGGCTTCACATCCTTCATCTGTAAAATCAAGACTATTGGACTTCATCAGTGACTCCCAGTGATTGGAATTTATGGACCAGTCTTTAAAAATATAGGATTGCTGGGAAATTCCCTGGTGGTCCAGTGGTTAGGGCTGGACATTTTTTTACTGCCATGGCCCAGGTTCAATCCCTGGTCAGGGAACTAAGATCCTGCAAGCCGCTCAGTGCAGCCAGAAAAAACAGGCTTACCAACTTTTAATCTTGCTAGGTATAAATAGTAAAAACAAACCAAAAAGCTTTTCCATCAACTATGATCATCTTTTCAAAATGAAACAATATCTCGACATCAAATATCCATACATTTTGCTTTATTTTTTTTTAAATCTAGCTAATCATTTAACTTTATATTTAAAACAACAACAACTTTCTTCTCATAGAGCTGTTAAAATTGTGTCTCTCTGGTCTGTGTTCCAGCATTTCAGAGCCCCCCTGATGACCTATCTCCCTCCCAGCTCTGCCTTCCCGTTGGTGAGCCGTGCAGGTGCCGGGGTAGCAGGGCTGGAGGGCTGGACCCCTAACCCGCAGGGTCGAGGAGGGGAGCTCAGGCAGGGATGTGTTGTGCTGCTGTCTCGGCAGGGACTTAAGGTTAATTGAAGTCACGGAAACCATTTGCAAGCGGCTCCTGGACTACAGCCTGCACAAGGAGAGGACCGGCAGCAACCGATTCGCTAAGGTTGGCTTTGTATATGCCCTTCCTCCCCGCTGGGCCCGGGCTTCCGGGTTCAATGTGTCCCCTGGTCTGGGTGCCATCGGGAGATCATGCCCCGGGAGCTTCCCTTCTCGGCAGCTCCCTGTTCTTTATCCACTGCTGTTTGCATCCCTCCCATCCTGAGCGGCCTGACTTTTCAGTGCAGGTGGGCACATTCTTGATGTCTGGGCCTGCCCCCTGGGGTCCTGCCTCAGCCTAGGACAGAAACGCTCCCAGGTGGCAGCCCCCTGGGGGCCAGAGCACTTTGTGTGGGGAGAACTCAGGATGCGCAGAACTGTGGGAATTTAGAGGAGATGTCAGAAAACTCTTGGGGAGGGGGTGATGATTGCCATGTCCCTTCTCTGGGTCCACAGGGGCCCTACCTGGACCTGCATCATGATGCCTTTATGACATTTATTGCACTCACCATGTACATGAATGCTTCTTTCACTGTAGATGAGTTTCCTTGCAGGAAGGCCCATGTTTCCTTTTTTTTTTTTCGTTTTCCCTTGTGCTGTTTACTTTTCTATCCGCAAAAGAAAGGTGCATGAATGTGTGAAAAAATAAAGTGACTTAGTTTAAGTTCTGATCCAAAATGAGATGTGCGATGGGAAAACAGGTCCGTACAATAGCAGTCATGCCCTGGCCCAGGGTTTTAAAGTCCCATCAAAAACTGGATGTCTTCCCTTTCCTCTTCTATCCCTCTTGCCTCATCTCACACATTCTGCCTGAAGACTGTGTCACATGGATGCAGCGGCTCAGAAGTCAATACACCTGTGTGAGCTCACCACTCATACACAGAATCTACCAGCCACACAATTTCCAGGGTGTGGCTTGACAATAAACTGACAATAAGCTCTCTTCTGTGGCTGAATGATGCCAGGGCTCCTGGACATTGATAAGATGTCATCCTACACCCCTCCCCGTATACCTGTTGCCATGTGTCTTTCCAAAAAGATCCAGAGGGGGCTGTGGGGGGTCTGGAGGCTCATATGTCTCCTGTCACTCCTATAAGGGCCCATGTTTCTTTATCTCTGCATCTTCTATGCCTGGTAGAAGAGCTGTCTCCCACATTTCTCCACCTAAGTACCCTTCTAGCAAAGGAGATCCTTCAGAAACCCTTGGGAAACCTAGAGGAATACTTCTAATACACACAAGTCCTAGGTTTTATCTTTATAATTTGTATTAACATTGTACTTGGTAATAAACCCATGTTTAATGTAACAACGTTTAAATTTACTTTCTAGAGCGAAAAAATTAGAAGCAGCCTGACCATGCGCTAGTATGGGAGTGGTTATGTAAGTTAGCCATTCAGTGGGCTCTTAGGCAAACTGTACAATGAAGAATGAGGTAGTTCTTTATGAGTTGAACTAAAATCACCTCCAAAGTATAGTTGTTTAGTCACTAAGTTGTGTCTGACTCTTTTGCGACCCTATGGACTATAGCCCTCCAGGCTCCTCTGTCCATGAGATTTCCCAGGCAAGAATAGTGGAGTGGGTAGCCGTTTCCTTCTCCAGGGGATCTTCCTGACCCAGGGATGGAACCTGAGTTTCCTGCATTGGCAGGCAGATTCTTTACCACTGAGCCACCCGGGAAGCCCTCTCCAAAGGATATTATTAAGTAAAAAAATGCATGGTGCAGAACAGCGTGTATGATACATACATACAGCTGCTTGTATGGGGGTGGAGGAGAGGCTATTTTTGTGTGTGTAGTGGCTTGTATCCGCATGTGTGGTCTCTGGGAGACAGAAGAAACAGGTAGTGTGTTGTCTCTGTGGAGAAGACCTAGGTGGCTGGCAGAAATAATTTCGTACAGAACCAAGAGTCTTCCCTGCCTCGCCGGTGCTTCTTCCCAACAAGGAAGGATACATGTGGGAAGAACCAGAAGCAGGGAGTGGCCTGGACACAGGGGAGGCCACAGTGAGGGGAAAGAGACAAGGCCAGTTTATTATCCTGGAAAGGAGTATTTGCTCAAAGGGTCCCGAGAGCAACCTTTCCAAAAGGAGGAGGTGTGGGGAGGCAGGACAGGCTGTGTGTGTCGAGGGGTTGTGGGACGCAGGCCTCAAAGAGGGGAGGGGAAGGTGAGGATGAGCGCGACGAGAAGCCGGAAAGGGTCCTGACCTTGAGCGGGGTCCCTGGGTCTCCAGCCCCACCAGGAGAGGCACAGGGCAGGGAGGGGAAGGGTCTCTGCCTCTCACATCCCATCGCGTCTTCCAGGGCATGTCAGAGACCTTTGAGACGCTACACAACCTGGTGCACAAAGGGGTCAAGGTGGTGATGGACATCCCCTACGAGCTGTGGAACGAGACCTCGGCAGAGGTGGCTGACCTCAAGAAGCAGGTAGGGGCCCCACCGCCCCCAGGGTTCGGTGGGGGTGGGTCCTCGGTTGACGAGGGCCACCGGAAGCCGGGGGACTGTGGTCAAGCCATCTCACCCCGCCTCTGGCTGCAGCCTCCTCGCCGGAGTCACAGCCACCAGCCCCGTGGGTGGCGAGACGAGGCTCAGGCTCTCTCGGCTCCTCCGGGAGGGGTCAGGGCCGGGCTTTGCCAACGTGAGGCCTTGCGGTTAACAGTGCGACGTCCTGGTAGAGGAGTTCGAGGAGGTGATCGAGGACTGGTACAGAAACCACCAGGAGGAGGACCTGACTCAGTTCCTCTGCGCCAACCACGTGCTGAAGGGCAAGGACGCCAGTGAGTCCGAGGGCAGGAGGGGTGGGCCCTCCCCGCTATTGTTTGCTGCCCCTCTGGGAGGTGGGTGAGGAGAGGATGGAAAAGAAATAAGAAATGGGGGCGTTGTAGCCTCTGTCCTCAGGGAACTGGATAGTACAGGGCGGGGTCAGGGCCTGGTACCTCAGATGCCCCCCAGATGGGCCCGGGGGGCCACAGCGAGGCAGAGCTGGGGGCAGATCCCATCACCGCCCCCAGGGGCTCTGCAACCCCAGCTCCTCACCCAGCCAGCCAGCCTGTTGAGGGTGTCTGTCCTCCTCCCCGCAGGCTGCCTGGCAGAGCAGTGGTCTGGCAAGAAGGGGGACACAGCCGCCCTGGGAGGCAAGAAATCCAAGAAGAAGAGCGGTCGGGCCAAGGCCCTGGGTGGCGGCGGCAGCAAACAGAGGAAGGAGCTGGGCGGCCTCGAGGGAGACCCCAGCCCCGAGGAGGATGAGGGCATCCAGAAGGCTTCCCCACTCACACACAGTGCCCCGGATGAGCTCTGAGCCTAACCTAGTGGCTCCTGCTGACCGAGAGCCTGAGCTGGGAGCCGAAGGGTCTGGAGCCCCTGGCTCCCGCAGACGCAGCAGCGCGGGGCCTCAGCGGTGCCTGCCTGGCCGGTGCTGCCTCCTGCCGTGGAAACTCCAGCCCCGGGAGAACTCGGATCAGCCGCGGGCAGCCCGGGCCGGCCTCTTCCCTCTGCCCAGCGTTCCTCTCCCAACCCAAACTTCAGGCGGGCCCCATGATCTCAGGACTGCTGAGGACTCCGGTGTGAACTCTGGTGGGCAGGTGTCAAGCTGGACCCGGGACTAGGGCTCCAGAGCCCCCCACTCCCTCGCTCCTCCAGCACCAGCTCCTCCTCTCCGCATCCCCTCTTCCTGTGGACACCTTGTGCTCTGCCCGGCCCTCCCCTGGGGCTCACAGAGTAAAAACCTTTCGGCCTTTTTCATTCAGATTTGAGTCCCCTTCAGCTGCTCAGAGGGGCCGGAGCCCCTGCCACTCTTTCCTGCCCCCTGCTCCCACCGTGGGCTGAGGATGGGAGGCTGTTCCTGAAACCTGCTAGCCGTGGGGAAAGCAGGTGCAGGGAGGGCCCCGGGGCTGTAGCTGGGGTGAGGGCCGGGCCTCGGGAATGGGGTGGGCATCGTGCCCTGGCCCTGGCCCTCAGTTGCCTGTGGTCTCCCTGAGCTGCTCAGACCTGGAGCGCCGCCCTCTCTCCTTCCCGGCCTCCCGCCTCCCCTCTTCCCCCCAAGGCCTTCCCGATGGTTGTGTAAAGTGAGCCCAGTGACCCCACCAGCCCCAGCCCTTCCTCTCTACGTCCTGCCTCTTGGCTTCTGGCCTCTTGGTCTTGACCCTTGTTCCCTGATGACCACACCTGACCACTCTGCGCTCCCTAGCCCTTGTGCCAGGAACCCACAGGGAAGGACGGCCAAGCCCCCAACAACACTGGTTACACCATGTTCTCTGGGAGCAGGGGACGAACAGCAAGGCTGGCCTCTGAGGAGAAGGGGTGGGAGGCACCTCCCGGTCTGTCCTGAGGGCAGAGATCGGTGGTGGCGTCAGAAGCAATAGTGATGACGGCTGCAGGTAGTCCGTGCTTTAACCCTACAGGTGCCCCAGACTCCAGCTTCTGGCAAAAATGCTCTGGGGTCCCCTTCCCAGGGCTGGGGACAGCCAGGCCACAGAGAGTGGAGCAGACTGGAAGCTGCTGCTGCCCTGAGTCATGAGGCTTGGAACAGGCCCTGAGAGGATGATTCTTTGTGGTCTAGTGAGCCCCCCGCCAACTGCGGTGCGGAGACTGTCCCCATGTTGGAGGGGCTGTGGGCAGAGAAGCCACTCTAGACTCTGGTCCCATCCTGGACTCTGCTGAGTGTAGATGACTGGGGAGGGGTCAGGCATTGGAACTCAGGGCTAGGGAACCATTTGCAGCCCCCTGGACTGTCTATAGTTTGGTGGCCAGTCTCTGACTCTCCCTCCCTGTCACTATTCCACAGCTCCAGTGCTTGGCTTAATTTTGTCCCCAGAGCTTCATTGTACTGTGAATAGGATGAGACAAAGACCAGGAGCCCAATCCCAGGCCTAGGCCGGGACTGGAGGGAGGGCAGCGTGGTGACTGCTTTGCTCTTTGACCTGTGGCTGCTGGAGGATGAGCGCCCTCACCCACACCCCACACCCCGCACCCCCCACCCCCCGTCCCCACAAGGCCAGGCATGTTGCACACTCTAGTTCTCTTCCCACCCACCCACCCACCCTAGCAGGCAGCTTCTCCCTGGCCCAGCCTAGGAAAGAAAGAGCAGGATCCACTTCCCAGGTTTTCCTTTCCCTCTCCCCACCACACATACCAGCCTTTCTGAGCTTGACTATAGCCTCCCACTTTCCCACACCCCTTCTCTCCATAAGGTGAGGGGTCTGGCTGAGCTTCAGTGAACCTGATCTCAGTCCCCTTAGTAGAAACCCAATCAGGATGGTTTCTACCCTCATGTGGACCTAAAAGTCACTTGGATGCTTGTCAGACAGATGTCTGGGTGCCGCTCAGACTTGCCAGTCTGGGGATCTAGGAGTCGGCATGGCTCTTAGGAGGAGGTCGGCTGGAACCCACTTCACCAGGAGGAATTTGGATGTTGTGTTAAGAGGGGCCGGGACCTCAATGAAGCCACACTGGAAGGAAGTCTTGTCCTCAGAAACATGAATTGTCAGCACCTTAGAGAGGATGTGTTGAAGACTTCTGTCATCCAGAACCTCAAAGGCTAATGGACTAGCCACAAGTCCAGTTTGTTCAAGTTCAACGACAGTCAAGTCTCAGAGGATTGGGCTCTGTAGGCTCAGAAGTGGCTGCATCAGGGCCCCTGTGTGTTTGTTGGAAGGCACAGCTCCTAGGAGGCAGGCTCCTCTTTATTTCCAAGTCCCTGGGTGGTGTTTCCCTGCAACATCTTTTTGCAACTTAGCGGTGCTTTTCACACCTTTGACTCCCCTCTGTCAGACAGTTGTTTTAATAAAAGTTTTGTTAGAATAAGACACTTGACTGCCAGAATTCCTGCCAGAAAATGATAAATAGACAAGCCCCTGAGGTTTGGAGTTTTGAGTGGAAACCCCTTAAATGCAGAAACTTTGTGCAGTTCACAGCTTGTCCACACGTCAGAGCAGCCCTAAATCACTTTAGTTCACAAGTACAAGCAAAATTCCTCTTCTTAGTCTTTGATCCTGAAAGAAAAGCACATTTTTTTTTCTTGACAGATGCACAGTCCATGCCTAACTGGTTTAAGGATGGACTCTGTGTACTAATCCTAGCGGCAGAGCCAGCAGAATCCCTCTTGACCATCCCCTGATGGCCTGGTTTGTACTATTAAGGAATTTCACTGGAACAATAATAATATAGTAGCCACTTTTTTTTAATGCATGTTATCGTGGCAAGCACCACTCTACATGCTTTTACATAATTAACTCATTTAATACAGCTGTGATCTACACAAGGCCATGGAGTTTTAAACACATTATTGAAGAATAATAAAATATACAAAGTACCTATATCAAAATGTACAGTTCAATGAGTTTTTATGAACTGAATACCAAAATCAACCAGCAGGAAGATCACAAAACACTATTACCAGCACCCCCACACATTCTACAAGAAGAACAGGGATTTTGGTCTACTTTGTTCACTGCTCGATCCCCAGTGAGTAATACAGCCCCCGGCACGAGTAGCTGCTTCCCCCCAGCTCCCTGCCACCCTGCAGGGCTCATGGGATCTTAGTTCCTCCACCAGGGATGGAACCCAAGCCCTTGGCAGTGAAAGCTCAGAGTCCTAACCACTGGACAGCTGGGGAATTCCCAGAGTAGCTACTTAATAAAATATCTGTTGAATGAGTGGAGCACAGAAAGTTCAAATAACTTGCCCAGACCACACATTTAGGAAGTGAGCCAACCAGGTTATGAACCCAGAAAGAATGGCTTCAGTGTCCTGTGGTACGGCCTCTGATATAGAGCTTTGCAGCCACAGCTGGCTGGCTCATCCACTCTCCTGCCCTTCACCTGGCTCTCCAGAAGGTAGACCAGTTGCTGTCCAGTAGTCTATTTATGTCTTCAGAGTTTAAGGCTGGACATGCAGTTAAAAGTGAATTAACCTTCAAGTCTTTCTCCCTGTTCAAAATTTACAGTTGTGTGTATAGCTTAAAGGCAGCTCGGGGGCTTCCCTGGTGGCTCAGTGGTAAAGAATCCACCTGCATGTGCAGGGGAGACAGGTTCGATTCCTGATCTGGGAAGATCCCACATGCTGTGGAGCAACTAAGCCCGTACACCACAGCTATTGAGCCAGTGCTCTAGAGCTCAGGACCCGCAACTACTGAGCCCTCGTAATAAAGTGCTGAAGCCTGAGTCCCCTAGAGGCAGTGCTCCGGAACAGGAGAAACCACCGCGGTGAGAAGCCCCTGCACTGCAACTGGAGAAAGACAGCAACGAAGACCCAGCGCAGCCAAAAATATATATTATTTCTTTAAAAAGGCAGCTTGACCCTTATCGCTGCCCTTAAAGGCTGACTTCTTACAATTTCTTTAAAAGGAATCCAATTTTACTCATTCTTTAAAAGTGTATTCTCCACCTGTTAAACTTCCACTGAAATGGTTGTGATTCTCTACTGGGAGGTGTAGATGCACCCGAAGATGGGAGAAGTTGACCAACTGCATCACCAGCTCCAGGGGTGGTAACATCTCCTAACATCATCACTTTTCTAAAGTAGAAAAGGTTCTCTGTCTGGGGGAAAAAAAAAAAGCAAGACACTCAAAAGCCAGGTGTTATTTTTAAATTTATATGTATTTATTTATTTGTTTTTGGCTGCATCGGGTCTTTGTTGCTGCATGCGGGCTTTCTCTAGTTGCAGGGCTCAGGCTTCTCACTGTGGTGGTTTCTTGTTTCAGAGCATGGGCTCTAAGGTGTGTAGGCTTCAGTAGCTGTGGTTCACTGGCTTAGTTGCCCAGCAGCGTGTGGAATATTCCTGGACCAGGGATCGAACACACATCCCATGAGTTGGCAGGCAGATTCTCAACCACTGGGCCACCAGAGAAGTCCCCAGGTGTTATTTTGTTAGAACTGCTCACCAAAGTGGTCTTGGTATTTTATTATTCCTTTCATCAACATGTGACAGCACGTGCCCAGTCACCTGTTTCGGGGAGCAATATGTTACCAGGGCTCAAACGTATGTCATTTTTACATGGGAGAGCAGCTCAGTGAATTTCCTGGTGGTCCATAGTTAGGACTCTGAACTGCCATTGCCAAGGGCCTGGGTTCAATCCCTGGTTGGGGATCTAAGATCCCACAAGCTGCAAAAAACTAAACAACAAAACAAACAAACAAACAGAAAATAATAATTTTAAAAAATACAAAAAAAAAATCCAGATCAGTGAGATCAATATATTCATAAGAGATTTTACTGGAGGTTAGCACATTGATGAAATACTCATAGATGCACTAAGCTTAATAGTAATGTAACACCATCAATTAGTGTTACCACCCACCAATATAGGGACCAATTTTACACTTACTTGATGGGACTTTATTAAAGCAGGTTGAGACTTACATCATATATTGAAAAGGCTAAGAAAGGATCCACTGTGATAAAAATCCATTAGCAGACTTCATGTGGGCATCACAGTGGTTAATCTGGGTTGTCAGCAGAGAAGATTTCTTTTCAGCAGCTTGAACTAGAGTTTGGAAATTGGTATCCCTCCTCTGAACAATGAATTTCTACCTGTTCTAAATCAAAACAAAGACATCCAGAATGTCTTCCATTTGTAGTTACTGTATATAATTCCAACCCTAAGATTTTAATGTGTCCTTAAATAGCTATAGTCTTAGAGTTTGTTCCATTGCAGCCATATTCCCAACCTAGAATCTCTTTTTAAACATATTATACATTTGGGGGGGATTCCCAGATGTCTCAGTGGTAAAGGATTCACCTGACAATGCAGGAGCCTCAAGAGGCTCATGTTTGATCCCTGAGTCAGGAAGATCTCTAGAGGAGGAAATGGCAACCCACTCCACTATTCTTGCCTAGAGAATCCCATTCTTATTTTCAGCTGAGTCAAACTATAAATTGGTTTATATTCTATGACTTTCCCTTCCTCGGCCCAGGGCCTCAGATTTGGGTTATCTAAAATTCACAGTGACTAACCAAGTAAAATAAAAGGCAGTTTTGATATATTTCAGTGGGCAGAGGACATGGACAAATAATTTAGCAATGAAGGACTGCAATTACTTGGTACATTTTGGTGGTAATTAAAGATTACAACAATTAGGTATAATTTTCTACCCAGTGAGATATCCATGAATAATATCTTCATGTAGAGAAGCATTGAAACAAATATTTGTTTTAGGTGACAGTATCAATTAATAGAAAAATTCCATTTGGAAAATGATTCCATCATAACCATCTACATGTTCACTCTTTTGAAAAATTATGAGCGCATTTTAAATGTTCATAACATGGGGAATGATTAAACAAGTCACAGCACATCCTCTCAGTGTAGCCAAAAATGATGCTTAAGGCCCAGTAATTTATGGTCAAGAGAAGAATGCTTTTGACAGTTAAAAGTAAAAAGAAAGAAAGCAAAAAGGTCTATGAAATTTTACATGTACTCTGATCTTGACTTTTTAAAAAATGCCTCTGAATGAGAAAAAAATCAAATAATTACTAACTTCAGAACAAAAATCTTATCTTTGAAATGAAAAGTATATTTAGAAGCTACAATTTTTAATAAACTATATATTTTAAAAAACCCAAATTTACTATCAGCATCCATATTATTTTTTAAAAAATTCTATTATAAACTCCCCAGTACAATGTCTTTCTAAGCATGTGGCCAAAGATCTATCTGTAGCGTGGTGTGAGCACAAGACTCCACTACCTGCAAATGGGCAGGCCCATTTGAGGTCCTTTGTGTGTTGATATTTTCTGTTGAAAGGTAAGAATGATTACATACCTTTGGAGTTCCTCCAGCTGCAGGATTATATAGATGGTAGAAGTGGGAGGGGAGTGGAGGGTCCTTCGGCTCTTTATTTCGTTGCTGTGTGTTGGCCGCTCTTTAGTTGCAGCCTGTGAGCTTCTCATTGTGGCAGCTTCCCTTACTGCGGAGCACAGGCTCCAGGTAAGTGGGCTCTAGTTGTGGCTGAAGGAGGAAACAGAACAGGCTCCATCTTGAAAGCTGGACTCCATTTTGGGCCGGACTGTGGACTTTGAGCTATATGCCCAGTATCTATGGAAATGACATACCAACTGGAAAACTGGGCCCCTGGAAGGAAGAGCCCCAGGGCTCTCCATCGCCTAAAAGAATACCCTAATTATCTGTGTAACTGAATAGAATCATACATTCTATTATGCTTAATGGGGTATGACCACAAGCCTATTGATAATTGTCCATTGTTAACTATCTAGGCTTAAGGCTTATGTATCACGGGTTAACTTTGATTGTATCTTTCTTTTTCCTTTGTTCAGACTAGTTTCTGGAAATTTTGGGGAGGTGGGTTTGGGCGCGTACGCTTAGGGTATATAAGGTTTTCACAAAAACTGGTCAGGGTCCTTGACCAAGAGGAGACTCTGCCTTGGGCCCGCTGGTGTAATAAACTGCACTCCACTGTCTGCATTGTCCTTCTGAGTGAATTTGCTTCCAGGAATGACTACAACATGGCCCAGGGGCTTAGTTGCCCTGAGGCATGTGAGGTCTTCCCAGATCAGAGATTGAACCAGTGTCCCTTGCATTGCAAGGTGGATTCTTTTTAGTATATGTGCTGCCGAAGCGAGCACTGCTAGGTGGATTCTTAATCACTAGGGTTAGAAGCCCCATCCTGGCTCTTTCTGAAGCCAGAAGAACAAAGCCAGGTGGGGAAGGCTGTTCTTGCTGTCTTGGGGTTCCCTGGGTAGCATCATTTTTCTGGGCACCATCCATCTTAGTGCAGGGTCTTGTCCCAGGAAGAGACCTTCTGCTTTGGGAAGGAAGGTTGAATGTACACTAATCAAGGCAAAAGTCCAGTTTATGAAATGACAATGAACAATGTGATAGCAAGAGCACTGGACACTCCCAGCCCTGCCCCTGGACTTCCCACTCTGTGGGCACCTCCGTGGAAAGCAGTTGGTCTTTAGAAGGGCGCGTGGTTGGAGAGGAATTTGAACCAGACTGCACCTGAGGCGTTTAGAAAAGGCTTGATGCCTCACCTGCAGGACAGAGGAGCGCCTGCCCCCAGCAGGGCGGAATTGAGCCAGAACCGCTCCTGGACTCGCATAGCCGAGCCAGCATTATCCCCCTTCCTTCCTTCCCTAGCTGACCAGGCCCTCCTTCAGCTGGACAGTCCTTCTTTAGATACGCTAATGCCTTTTTTTCTCCCCCTGCAACGAACGGTTCAGCCCTGGGCGCTCAACTCTGCGCACTCAAGTTTCTTTCCAGCCTGAGGCGAGGGTGGAGCGGGCATTCTCACTGCTACCCTTCTCCTGCCCCGCCTCCCCGGCCCTCCAGCGACCCGGGTTGAGTGGGCCGGGGCCTTGGGAGGGTCCTTTCCCGCCGAGGGATGGTCCGGAGGGCCGGATCTTCAGGCGGGCAGGTAGGGCTCTCCAGGATTGCCAGGCCGCGCCCTCCCCGCGGCCCCGGGCCGGGAGCCCGGCAGGGGCGTGTCCGCGCGCTCACCTGCCATTGGGCAGGTGGGGCGGCCGGCGCTCCGGCAGGGGCCGCGTTATAAATGCGGAGCCGGAGCCGGTGGCGGCGGCGGCGGCGGCGGCGGAGCCAGACGTGTCGAAGGATGGTGGACAGCGTGTACCGGACCCGCTCCCTGGGGGTGGCGGCTGAAGGGCTCCCGGACCAGTACGCGGACGGAGAGGCGGCGCGCGTGTGGCAGCTCTACATCGGGGACACCCGCAGCCGCACTGCGGAGTACAAGGCCTGGCTGCTCGAGCTACTGCGCCAGCACGGCTGCCAGCGGGTGCTCGACGTGGCCTGCGGCACCGGGTGAGCGCGGCGGGGCCCCGGGGGCCGCAGTGAGCGCGAGCGGGGCTGCGGGCAGGGGACCCGGGAGAGCGGGTACCCGGGGCACCGAGCGGATGGGGTCGGCTTGGCCGGGGCAGCCGGGCCGCAGGACCACGGGCGGGCACGTCGGGGCAGCCTCCTCCGCCGTCCCGGGAGCCGGGGCTGGGGCGCGACGCCAGGGCGGGGAATGAGTGTTTGCCCAGGCAGAACGGGCAGGACGGGGCCGAGGAGACCCAGGATGAGAGCAAGGGTGTGGGCACAGCGGATGGGGAAGGCGGGTTCGCCAGGGCGGCGGCCTAAGGACCGGGTTTTGGGGCCAGCCTCACATAAGGTCGAATCTGGCTCCAGCGGCAGCGTTCACACTTAACACTTGTTCAATGTGATGTGTTTCTGCCACATCAGTTTTTAAAATCCTTACAAAACTCCGTTTGGTAAGCAGTGATAGGTATTTACGGTTGCAGAAATTTGGCCTCAGAGAGGTAAAGGTGGAACAAAGATGTGGACCCAGGTTGGTTAAGGTCTGGCTTGTGCTCTGAACCACCATCTGGCAGTTCCCTGGTGGCCTAGAGGTTAGGACTCTGACGTTTCACTGCCCAGGGCCTGGGTTCAATAGCTGGTAGGGGAACTGAGATCCTGCAAGCCTCATGGGACTGCCAAAAACAAAAAGAAAAAGACCCACCATGCTACACTACCTCCTGTGCTCCAGTTACTTAACTTGCAGGAGCTTCAGTTTGCCCCATCTCTCAAATAGGGATAACATCACCTACCTTACTGGATTGCCATGAGGATTTTTTTTTTAATTACTTATTTTTGCTGTACTGAGTCTTCACTGTGGGGCACAGACTTCTCTCGCTGCAGTATGTGGGATCTTAGTTTCCCTACCAGGGATCCAGCCTGGGCCCCTGCATTGGGAGTGCAGAGTCTTATCCACCGAACCACCAGGGAAGTCCCTGGATTGCCATAAGGATTAACTGCACATTTGTACAATACCTGACTTGGTGCTGAGAAACAAAAAAGAAAAGTTACCACCGGGTGATAAGAAACATATTTGCCAGGTCACTTGAGGTCAGTGGAGAGAGCCTGGGGATAGAAAACAGAGGAGTGGACTCTGAAGAGTGGAGGGGACAAGAGTGTCCAGCACAGGGCCTCCTCTGCCTCTCCAGGCCTCCCTGACTGCCCCTTTCTGACTGTCATTCCTGGTCCTGGCCAGGGTGGACTCCATCATGCTGGTGGAAGAGGGCTTCAACGTGACAAGCGTGGATGCCAGTGACAAGATGCTGAAGTATGCTCTCAAGGAGCGCTGGAACCGGAGGCATGATCCTGCCTTTGACAAGTGGGGTACGTGGGTCCGGCCAGGTGTCCTCAGTTCTCCCTACCCTGGGCTCCTTTCTCAATCGTGGTGGGGAGCTGTTTTCCTCAGAGGAGGAAATCACTGTCATTTCCCTGAAAAGGGAGCCTTACACACCAGAATGAGGGACTAGTTTTAATTATGTTTATAGTGTCCTGTGAAAGGCACTCAGTTCCTGTTTGACTGTTTGCGACCCCATGGACTATACAGGCCAGAATACTGGAGTGGGTAGCCGTTCCCTTCTCCAGGGGATCTTCCCAACCCTGGGATCGATCCCAGGTCTCCCACATTGCAGGCAGGTTTTTTTTTTTTTTTTTTTTTTAATCGACTGAGCCACCAGGGAAGCCCATCTTGGACAGTGGGCAGTGTGCTGTCCCCCCAAATAAAAACCCATGAGCACAGAGCCCTCCTTCCCAACCATGGTTTCCTCTCCCCTGGGCCCCTCGTCCCCTTCACCCTCCATGTCCATAATGATCCCCTCCCCCTGACCGGATGGGGAGTCCCTATGTGTGTCTTGAAGGGGAAACTGAGGCAGGACTGCCCTTGGTGGAGGTGAGTGCCTCCCTGATCCCCCTTCCCCTCCCTGGCCCCCAGTCATTGAAGAAGCTAACTGGATGACTCTGGACAAAGATGTGCCCCAGCCACCAGGGGGTGGCTTTGATGCTGTCATCTGCCTTGGAAACAGTTTTGCCCACCTGCCAGACTGCAAAGGTGAGAGAGAGGGTGGCCTGGGAGTGGAACCTGCTTTGAACTATACCCTTTCCAGACCCCTGGGGAAGAGAAAGACGGGAAGGATACTGGTACTGGGGGCCCTGAGCAGACGCAGCCTCTCTGTTCCCACCTGGTTCAGGGGACCAGAGTGAGCACCGGCTGGCCCTGAGGAACATCGCAAGCATGGTGCGGTCAGGGGGCGTGCTGGTCATTGATCACCGCAACTACGACCACATCCTCAGCACAGGGTGCGCACCCCCAGGAAAAAACATCTACTATAAGGTGGGGCCCCCTGGGCAGGGCAGGCCCAGGGCGGGAGGTGTGGTCCTGGGGTCCCGGCCTCATGGTAGTTGCAGAGGTTGACACAGCTGGCAACACTGCCTGCAGAGTGACTTGACCAAGGACATCACGACGTCAGTGCTGACCGTGAACAACAAGGCCCACATGGTGACCCTGGATTACACGGTGCAGGTGCCGGGGGCTGGCCAGAACGGTTCTCCTGGCTTGAGGTACTGACTTGGCAAGGTGGGGGCGGGGGGCGGGGTGGGGCTGGGGTGGTGGGTGCCAAGACCACCAGTCCTCACTGTGGGGCCGGGGCTCTGTTGCAGTAAGTTCCGGCTCTCCTACTACCCTCACTGCCTGGCATCCTTTACGGAGTTGCTTCAAACAGCCTTCGGGGGCAAGTGCCAGCACAGCGTCCTGGGCGACTTCAAACCTTACAAGCCAGGCCAGGCTTACATTCCCTGCTATTTCATCCACGTGCTCAAGAAGATGGCCTGAGGGAGGCCTCGGCTCCCTCCCTCTGGGGAGGAGGGGACCGGTGGCCCCTTCAGTGCGGATCCTGGGGGTGTGGGGAGGGGCAGACTGCCGCTGGGCTCAGGAGGACAGAAAGCTGAACAATACAGTCTGTGCCTGTTCAGGTCCTGTTCCCCTTGTGTTCATGTCAGAAGGATGAGGCTCTGGGGTTTAGCACCTCCACAGCCCTGCTCGTCCCCACACCGACCTTTCAGACTGCAACTCCAGCAGGGGGCAGCACACACTTTATTTTCAGGCCCAAATGGGGCTTCCCTGGTGGCTCAGATGGTGAAGAACCCGCCTGCAATGCGGGAGATTTGGGTTTTGATCCCTGGGTTTGGAAGACCCCCTGGAGAAGGGAACAGCTACCCGCTCCAGTATTCTGGCCTGGAGAATTCCATGGACAGAGGAGTCTGGCAGGCTACAGTCCAACGGGTCGCGAAGAATCGGACACAACTGAGTGACTTCCATAGTTCCCACCGGGGCTTCCCTCAGGACCTGACCCCTCCTCCTGAGCAGAGAGGCCTGAGGGTTGGAGCTGGCCTGGAGGGCAGACAGGTCCGAAGAGGGTCGTCCTGAGCTCTCCTGGGGCTCCTGATGGCACTTAGCACCCAGGGTGTTGCCCGGAGGTAGGCAGCGTTCAGGTGGGCGGGCGGTGGCGTTTGGTCTCTCAGGGCTCCATGAGCCCCTGTGGGCAGGTCCCAGGCAGCAGGGGGCTCCTAGCAGGCGGCAAACTTGCGTTGGATACGCTTGTACCGGAGCAGCTCGTGCTCGCTGACCGAGGGCTGCAGCCGGGCCGCGGCTTGCAGCAGGTCCTCCATGGTGAGCAGCAGGGCTGAGCTTCCGGGCTCCAGGCCTGGGGGTGACAAGGGGAGGTGAGGACAGCTGGGGCATGGATGCTGTGGTCTCTGCCCGAGCAGGGGAGCACCCTGGGTAGGCACTTTCTTGCCCGGAGTCCCCCAGGGGTCAATAGATCGTCCTCTGAAATCCAGAAGCAGGCCTTGTGCCCACTAGGTTTCTGGTTGACCTCTGGGCCGGGGGAGCGGCTCACCTTCCTCCAGGTCCCGAACTCGGCGTTTGAGGGCAGCTGTCATGGCGTCGGAGCATAAAGAGTAGAGGTCGGCGCCCGTCAGCTGGGGCGGGCAGTGGTCGAGGACATCCACCAGGCTCACAGAGGGCTCCAGCCTGAACCTGTTGTAGGGACACAGGAGAGAAAGAGTCCTACTTGGCTTCCCCGACTCCATCAGAAGGCATCCCTGACCAGCTTATTGAGGGCTTTGCACTCATCTTCTAACCATCCCATGGCCCAAGCCCCTGGGGGCGGGGGGAGCTCTCCCTCTAATGGGGCATACTTGCGTGTGATGGCGCTCAGAACACGGAGCTGGGAGGCACGGTCCTCATTCACCCCCACAAACACCAGCTTGTCAAACCTTTAGGGAGATAGGTGGGTGTCAGGGAGCCTGATGTGAAGGTGGAGAGGCACAGACGGGTCACAGGACAAGCCCAGAGGGGCCTGGTAGAGGTGAGAGGGACGGGGTGCACACCTGCCAGGCCGCAGGAGAGCGGGGTCCAGCAGGTCTGGTCTGTTGGTGGCTCCGAGCACGAACACATCCTGGGTGCTGTGAAGCCCGTCCAGCTCGGCCAGGAGCTGAGACACCACCCTGTGAAGGAGGGAGTGAAAACGAGAGTGCTCAGTGCATCCTCACCCTCTCCCCTCCACCGGGTGCCCCTCTGCAGGCTGTCTGCACAGGGCCCCCTGCCCGATCGTGCCCTGTGGACCCTGCCACCCTGGCCCCCATCTCCTCAAAACCCCACACCCAACTCCACGGCCCCTTTTAGCTTCTGCTACATGATCACAGAACCAGAAGGGCAGGAACTCTTTGGGCGGCAAAGACCAGTACAACCTGTCTCACATCCCGCCATCCCTCCCTCTAGGGTCTTGGACCCTAGAATCCTGGCTCAGACCCCCACCTGTCCATCACACCTCCAGAGTCTCCACTTCGCCCCCGATTTGGGGCCAAGGAGTCCAGTTCATCAAAGAAGATGATGCAGGGAGCTGCGGCCCTGGCCCGGGCAAACACTGAGGAGAGAGGGGCCCATAGGACAGGCTGGGGGTTAGCACCCCCGTCAGGAGACGGGGAGGGCAACCCAGGTTGACAGCTGATCACTAGCACTTCAGGTAGAGGCCCCTCCAGGCAGGAACCTGACCTGGGGAGAGGAAGACTAGCCAGCAACCTGAGGGCTCTCCCTCCGCCCCCACTCACTCACCTTCCCGTACATTCTCCTCGCTTTGGCCCACGTACATGTTGATGAGCTCGGGCCCTTTCACGCTGTGGGAGGTGATAGGAGAGGGTGAGACTCCTCAAGACGCAGAAACACACAACTGACCTCTTGGCCACCCCCTCCTGCTCCCCAGCCAGTCGCAGACCCCAGTCCACCCACCCTCCCGGCAAGGCCCGGTTGCCACCTGAGAAAGGTGAGACTGCACTCCGTGGCCACCGCCTTGGCGAGGAGGGTCTTGCCCGTGCCAGGGGGCCCGTGGAGCAGAAGGCCAGAGCGCCTTAGGCCCAGGCTGAGCAGCTCAGGGTGCTCCAGAGGAAGCTGAATCGTCTCCAGAATCTCCTTCTTCACGTCCTGTAGCCCACCCACGTCGTGCCAGGACACCGAGGGGATCTAGGAGACGGGAAGGGCGTGGCTGGGCACCAGCTGGTGGAGGGCGCTCCGGTCCCACCCCCAAGGGCCTCGAGTGTCTACCCTGGGGGCTCCGACGGCCTGGGAGTGAGAGGCCTGCAGCTGCTCCAGTGCCTGCCCGAAGTCCTCGGCCAGGAGAGGGAAGCCCGCCGCACACAGCTCCCCCTCATCCTCCTCACTCAAACCGCCGGCCCAGCTGCGAAGAGAAACCCGGGGAGGCCTGTGGAGGACCAGCCCTGAAGCCTCCTTCCAACCGCGGCCCTCACCTTCCTCCCTCCCTTTCTACCCCCTGCCTGCCCAGACTGCCTCTTGCCCCTCCCGCACCCAGCTTCTTTACCCTGAGTTCTTGATCCTGCTGCAGGCTGCCCGGCTGCTGTGGGTCAAAAGGGCATAGAGATCCCCCACCACAAAGCCCTGGGGACGCACAGGAGAGCACACGTCAGCAGGGCACAGTAGGCAGGCACCCTCGGGGGGAGGGAGGGGTGGTTCCCTGGCTGGTGCCAAGGCCCAGCACTGAGGCCTCGGGTTTTCTACCCTCACCTGCATGGCAGCAGGACTGCCCCCCAACAGAGAGCGCAAGGAGGCTGGCACCCTGTCGGGGGTACTCACCGCACACCGCCGCGCCAGCTGTGCCAGGTTCACCTCTTGGCCCAGGGGGAGGTGGGCAGTGAGGGCCTGGAGGATGCTGAGCCGCTGTGCCTCTGCTAGCACGGGCACCTCCAGCTCATGGGGAAAAGCCGTCTGCACGTCTGTGGGCAGGTCCTGGGCCCGGCTGGTGGTGGCCACGACCAGCAGGGGAGGGCAGCTGTGGACAGGGAGTGGGTCCTGAGGGTGGGAAGGTGGCCAGCAGCCCCTGAGTGCAGCCTCGTCCCGAGGCTGGTGCAGGAGGGTGGCTGGGGGGCAGGGATGGGAGAGGGAGATGGGAGCCCCAAAGCTTCCCAGATGGGGCATCCCCCTACACACAGGAAACTCAATGAGGGCAGAGGCTATGCTTTAGCGTTCCCCAAGAAACAGCCCATGGCTCAGTCAGTAAAGAATCTGCCTACAATGAAAGAGAATGCGGGTGCAATCCCTGGGTTGGGAAGATCCCCTGGAAAAGGGAATGGCAACCCACTCCAGTATTCTTGGCTGGAGAATCCCATGGACAGAGAAGCCTGGTGGGCTACAGTCCATGGGGTCGCCGAGTTGGACACGATCGAGCAACTAAGCACATATAAGAAGTAACAGGGCCCGCACCCTCCTCCCTCTGGGCACCCCCACCCCCTCAGCTCAGGGCTGCCTGGAGAGCCACCAGGTGGCTGTCTGAGAAGCCACTGAGGGGGTAGGGGAGAGTGCTGGACCTCCCTCCTTTTTCCGCTCAGTGCTGGATGCTACCTGGCGAGCGGGTCTTCATCCAGCAGGAGGTGACGCAGCGTGGCCACCACCCGGGCGTCCTCGCCTAGTCCATCACGGTCCCGGCCCAGCAGGTCCACGGCTGTCAGCAAAAGAACCACTGGCCGGCAACACCGGGCCCGGGAGAAAATGGCCTGCAGTTTTGTCTCCACAGCACCGCTACTGTCTGCACAGAGGCTGGAGCAGGGCACCTGGGGAGGGGTTCCCAATGGGCCTGTGAGCAAGGGAAGGGGCAGGCATGACCGGGGCAGGAGAATGGAGGGACAGGTCAGAAGGTACAACCCGTCTTTTAGGAGGGTGGGGATGGGGGCAGAAGGTAACACTGGCCAAGCCCTAACTCTTCTTTTCCCTAACCACATTCTTTGGACTGCCCACCAAAACCTTGGTGGTGTCCTCTTTTTAAAATTATTAATTTTATTTTTGGCTGCACTGGGTCTTCCTTGCTGTGCATGGGCTTTCTTTGCGGCGAGTGGGGGCTACCCTCTAGTTGCAGCATGCTAGCTTCATTGCGGCGGCTTCTCTTGTTGCAGAGCACAGGCTCCCGGGCACGTGGGTTTCAGTAGTTGTGGTGCATGGGCTTGGTTGCTCTGCAGCATGTGGGGTCTTCCTGGATCAGGGATCAAACTTGTGTCCCCTTCATTGGCAGACAGATTCTTAACCACTGGACCACCAAGGAAGTCCCAGAGTGTCCTTCTTGAGAGCATCTCTTGGTAGCTCAGCATCACAGCACTATGCCTGATCCACTGGCCCAATGGACTGAAGCGGTAGAGCCTAGCTAGTGGTCAGAGGGGAGAGGGAGAATACGGGCTGTGGAGGAGATGGAGTTGGGGGTCTACTCTCCAGGGACCCTCACCTTCAATAAGTGGAGCCCAAGGCGGCTGCAGGCGGCGGCGACTGCAGTGGTCTTCCCACTGCCTGGGGGGCCCCGCAGAAGGACACTGCCAGTCCCTGTCAGCAGGGCACCCCTGCAACCAGAGAAAAGACATTTGCTTCCTCCATCCTGCCCAGAAGGGAGTCCCAAGTGACACAGGCACCCTTGGGTCCAGAAAGCACTCTCCTTGAGGCACCCCTCCCCACCAGGGCCATCACTACATGGTAAAGCCGTATTTCCCATACCATCAGTGGAATTCTGGCAGGGACCTGGGGCATATCCAGCAGACTAAATTCTTTTTGTCATCAGTGAAGCCTTGGCTGTTCTGTCTGGTCTGGATTGTATGGAGGGAATTAGGGAGGGGTCTGTGACTACACATGGGCCAGTGGTATGAGGACCTTGTCTCTCAGGGCCCAGGTGGTGAAGGTTGGGATGACTAATGGGGTCCCCAAGGGAAGGGCAGCCTCAGGGACAAATGATGGTGGGGGAAAGCCTCCCTCCACAGCTGACCTTGGAGGGCAGAGGTTACTCCAGAAAAGAAGTCTGGGAATTTGCTTATGGGCGGGACATGGGCTAGTGGCCTGGGCCCGATGGTTGGAGGGAGGCCCACCCAATCCCACCATGGCCAGGGCATCAGGCACTGCTTGTCTGGCCTGCTGCTCCTCCGGGGATGCTCCAGGCAGGCTTCTCTCACACTGAGGCTGCAGCCTCCTCACTCACCCTGGCTGGAGGCGAGGCTTCAGGGCAGCACAGAGCTCGGTCACCAAGGCCTCCAGGCCTGGAGGAGACAAGCTGCTCCAGGGAGTCGAGTCCCCTGAAGGAAGCCTTGGAACGAGGCTCAGGGTAGAACCCACCTGTGAAAGGTGGGAGGAAGCTTTAGTTTCTAGAAGTACTTTTTAATTTACTTTATTGAAGTACGGTCGATTTACAATGTGGGGTTACTTTCTACCATTCGGCATAGTGATTCAGTTATACACGTATACAAAAGTTTGCATCTACTAATCCCGAACTCCCACTCCATGCCTTCCCCAACTCCTTCCCCCTTGGCAGCCACAAGTCTGTTCTCTAGAAGTTCTTTCTGCTCCTTTCCCCAAGTCAACCCCACTGCCAGGGCCTCACCAAGTACAAGGAGGTATGGGTGGTGTCGGCTAAGTAGGCTCTGTCTTGCCCGTCTGGAGCCTCCCCAACTGTTTTCTTCACTTTAAAAAACATCTCTTGCCACCTGCAGGGAAAGAGGCCCAATGAACCCCAGATCCAGAGCCCCCATCCACCCCTCCTTAAGGGGAAGGCACTGCCTCAATCAGAGGTCCGCTGCAGGGACAAACGGAAGAGCAGCGCAAAGAAATGCCCCCCAGATGTGGTGGAGGTGGGGAGGAAGTGGGGGATGTGGTGGTAAAGGAAAGCAGGTGGTCTTCTTTATCTCTCCTACGGGATCATACACATTTTGAGAGCAGGAGCTGTGCCTGTCCTTGGCATCCCTCATACCAGCATCACCTTGATGGTGTGTTTCTCCTGCCTACTCACCCCAACGGGAGAAGCCACTGCTGCACCAAGCAGTGACCATCTGACTGTGTTCGCTAGCTTGAGAACACAGACTCTCCCTCAAATATGCACCCACCAAAAAAAAATGTACCACCAAGGCCACCCAAAACCTCAGAAGAAAGAGTCCTCAGCTCTCACCCGGTCACCCACAAGATCTAATTGCAAGCAGATTCCTTCATAATGACATTTAGTGATTAATGATTCTCTATTTGGGCGGTACATTAGAATTATCTGTGAAACTTGACAAAAAAAACAAAACAAACCCCAACATCTCTCACATACTGTGATTCCATTCAGTAGAGGAGTGGGTGCCAGAAGCAGAGGGAAGGAGGGAATGGGGAGTGACTGCTGGTGGGTGGGGGTTTCTTTCTGGGGTGAGGAAAATGTTTTGGAATTAGTGATGTTGATGGCACAACCCTGTGAATATACTAAAAGCCAATGAATTATATACCTTAAAAGTGTGAATTTTATTTGTGAATTATACCTGAATTTTACAATGAACATTTTCCTTCCTTTGGGGGGAGAAAAAAAAAAAAAAAAAGACTGCACAGGCTCTAGCCTCACCCTGATTCTGCTCTAATAGGTCTGGGGTGGGGCTCAGGCATTTTTATTTTTCAAAAGCTCCCAGCCATAACCAGGGCTGTGTAGTCACTGGCTAGTGTTAGAGTGAGTTAGGCTTACTTAACCTACTAAGGGGGCGAGGGTAGCAGACAGCAATTACTAGTCCAGTTTTCCAGATAGAGAGAGGAACTACTCCCATCTTTAAGCCTCAGGCAGCATGGCAACGGCAGAGCCTGGGCCTCTTTCAGGTCTAACTGGGGTACAAATTCCTTTGCTGTGCCCACAGTCACACAGCTGCTCCTTCTGGCAGCAGAGAGGGGTGGGGGTGGGAACGCCTTCACGTGGAAGGGGAGGCATATTAGGTTAGGAACTACCACCAGAGGCGCTGACTGTGATAAGAACTGGAACATAAGGAAAGCTGTCCCACTGGTTTTTTCTGTTTGTTACGTTGGCTGCACTGTGTGGTTGGTGGCGTCTTAGTTCCCCAACAGAGGATTGAGCCCAGCCCTGGCAATGAAAACAGTGAGTCCTCACCACTGGACCACCAAGGAATTCCCTGTCTCACTGCTCTTCATTATAAATAAGTGTTGTGTTAGCTGCTCAGGCATGTCCAACTCAGTGGGACCCCAAGGACTGTAGCTCGCCAGGCTCCTCTGTCCATGGGATTCTCCAGGCAGCAATACTGGAGTGGGTTGCCATTCCCATCTCCAAGGGAATCGAACCCATCTTCCCAACCCAGGAATCGAACCCAGATCTCCCACATTGCAGGCAGATTCCTTCACCAGGGAAGCCCATAAATAAGTGATGGGTGGGTCTACAACCTAGACTCTCCATCAGGCTGAACCACCTCAGTCAGATGCATCTGGCAGCCAGTGGAATCCAAGGAGGAAAAGCACTGGGGCAGGGAGGGGGGAGGGAGACACGCCCACCTCTCCCCCAACAATCCCCCCCGCCCCCACTCTCCGGCCACGGAGAGTGGATGGGCCACCTCAGTGAGGTGGGCCAGACCTCTGGAACATATCTGGGCACTGCTGGGGAACACGGGGTTGCGTTCCTGAGAGCCAGACAGCAGACAGTGGCGCTCGATCCTGGCGCCCGGCCTGGTGTGGGAGGTGGCGCCGAGGGGAGCAGGATGGGCTGCACCACCCCCGGTGGACTTCCATGCCAGGGATCAGGGGAGCCTCTTACCAAGTCCAGGGAGTAGGGGGTACAGCACTCATCTCTGTCCTTGGACCCATCTGCCCACCCGGCCCTGCCTTTCCAAACCTACCCAGAGGTAAGAACTATATGCTCAGCACCCAGAGGAGGGAGGCAGGTCTCCAAGGGGCCGGTATGGTGGAAGTCCAGGAACAGAACTGGCTTGCTGGTCTGTCTCAGGAGGGTCGAGTGCCTGTTTTCCTTTCAAAGTACAAAGGGTGGGCATTCTGCAGCTTTCCTACAGAGAGCTAGCTCATAGACAGTTGTTCTATTTAAGATGGACTTCCCAGGTGGCAGAATGGTAAAGAATTCGCCTGCCAATGCAGGAGATGCAAGAGACATGGGTTCAATCCTTGGGTTAGGAAATCCCCTGGAGCAGGAAATAGCAACCTATTCCAGTATTCTTGCCTGGAAAATTCCATGGACAGAAGAGCCTGGTGGGCTACAGTCCAGGGGGTCACCAAGAGCCAGACACGACTGAGCGCGCGCGCGCGCACACACACACACACACACACACACACACACACACACACGATGGAAAACAGAAGTGGGAAGTGACAGAGAGCAGTTGGGCATTCTCCACCAAGCTCCAGTTGTAAATTTGATGGGAAGGCTCAAAGAAGCACCCTGGAGCACCAAATGGAATTACACATGGCACCACCAGGCCCCTCCTCTGGGTACCACAGCCCTGAAATTGGAGAGACTGAGCACTGGCCAGAACCAAGCTCTGAATGTTGACCAAAGCTGAATTAGGTACTCCAAGCAAGGCACTGCTCTCTTAGCAGAGGACGCTGGCTGGCTTGGCCTGAGACCCTGGGCATGATGGCTCTTGTGCCCAAGTTTCTGCAGGGTGGTCCCACCACCTCACTGGAATTTCCTGGAAAGTTGGGTTAGTGTCTTCTTCTTCTAATAAATCCTTATAGGAAATCCATCTGGGGGTAGGAAGCTACACATTTTCCCCCTTCACATAAAGCCAAGCAGTCTCTGAATTCTGAATTTTTTTGGCTGCATCATGTGGTATGTGGGATCTTAGTTCCCCCATCAGGGATCGAACCTGCTCCCCCTGCATTGGGAGTGCAGTCTTAACCACAGGAAGTCCTTGCCTTACCATTTCATATGCAGTCTCTGCAGTCAGAATCAACAGGAGGAGGAGAAAGGTTGGCCTCCTTGTTTTGGGTCCCTGGCTCAGTTACACTCTCTTTCTCACTCTCTGTTGAGGATACGGACAGCAGGCCTCTCAAGGGCAAATCCCTTCCTCTCCTGTCTTGGGAGACAAGACTGAAAAGCATGTGCACATTCCACCCATTAGAGCAGAAACCATGATGGTACTGGGGCTCCTCCAGCTCAGTGTATGGGAGGTGTGGCCCAAACAACACTGGTTGAGAATGGAAAGTAGGGCTTCCCTGATGGCAGGTGGATCAATCCACCTGCCAATGCAGGAGACACGAGTCTGATCCCTGGTGAGAGAAGATCCCATATGCTGTGGAGCAACTAAGCCCATGTGCTACAGCTATTGAACCCGTGCTCCAGAGCTGGGGAGCCACAACTACTGAAGTCTACATGCCCCAGAACATGTGCTCTGCAACAAGAGAAGCCGCTGCAATGAGAAGTTAGTGCACCACAGCTTCAGATTAGCCCCCGCTTTCTACAACTCGAGAAAAGTCCACACAGTAATGAAGTCCCAGCACAGCCAAAATATAAAATAAATAAATAAACAAATAAAACTATTTTAAGAAGAATGGAAAGCAGGGGGGACTTCCCTGGAGATTCAGTGGTTAAAACGCTGAGCTTCCACTGCAGGGGCTGTGAGTTCAATCCCTGGTTGGGGGAGTTCCCCATGCCACGAGGTGCAGCCAAAAAAAAAAAAAAAGAAAGTGAGGAATCCCACCTTGGACTAGGCCATTAAACCATTCTTAGTACTTTACAACACCTAGGACCACCAATCAATTTGAGGATAAACACCTCCCAAAGCCAGCAGGCAGTGGCTCTTAATTCTCTTTTCAGTCACACGCCTATTTGAGAACATGAAGTGAGTAGGTACCTTTTCTCCCGAAAAACATGCATGACAACAACAAAATGTTCTTATGCACAGAATTATTCCATTCAACTTGAGGACTCCTGCACGCAGGTTAAGAATCCCAGCTGCAGGAGAGGAGCCAGCTCCATACCTGGGCAGTTTCTCTGGGCTTCCTTCCAGGATCTCTACTTGCCCAACTGTTGGCACACACAGGACATCCCCGTCCTGGACTGCCCTGTAACACAGCGGGAGGCCTGGTCAGCTCACAATAGGAGTTAATGGCAGGCACCTAACATATCCCCGCATGCCCCACCCTCTCAACCGGCAGACTGTTTCTCGGGGCCTACTGCCCACCCAGAGATCCCAAGCAGTTGTCCAGAGAATAAGCCTGACCTAGAAAGAGCTTTGGGAAACGGCAGAGAGGGGATCAGAGACCAGAGAGAGGGGCAAAGCAGGATCCTGGCTTTTTGGGGGGCCTCCTCAAATCAAAGTGGTTTCTCAATCTAGAATGTCTGGATTTACCCTCCTGGCCCAGATTTCTCTTGTCTATCTGACACACCAGGAGGCTTCTAGCCACCATACTGCTTAAACTATGGCTTTTTAAAATCAGAGGCTTTCTGGTATCTGAATCTCAGGCCTGGGATAGGAGGAGTTCATTGAGGGTGGTGTGTGCTACCCTCCTGCAAGGGGGAAGCGGCTAACCTGGGTGTCTGAAAGTGCCGGTAAAGGACATGGTCATAGTTTCCATTAGTGCTGTAGTGAGGAGACGACACAATTTCGATGTGTAACTCTTTGGCAAACGGAGGCCCAGGCAGCACTGAGCAGCTTCCCTTGTCTTCAGGGCTGCTGGAGCCCTCCAAATACCTCTATGAGAGAAATAACCACCACCTTAGAACCTTCTCCCAAGGACTCAGGCTCCTGCCCAGTCTCTTAGCAACCAACACTTCTACTTCCATCCTTTATCCTTCCAATAACCACAAGGGTTGTGGGACAGAAGACCTAAGAGAGTAGAGCTGAAGACCTTTATCTTCCTTAGAAAACAGAAACCTCTCCTTCTAATGGACACCTGGAAGAGACTTCCGATTCTGACTTTCCTGACTCTAGCTCCAAGAAGTTCACTGATGATAACCATTCTGTGACACCTTTATACTGGCCCAGAGCCAGTGAAATGGTAAAGACATTTAATTCCCACAAGTCATTTGAGTGACACCAGGCAACCACTGGGAATAGTAATTGGACATTAGCGAAGACACTGAATTCAGGCTCCAGTTAAAGGACATGATCTCACTGAAGCTGAAAGGGCTGGGTCAGGTGAATGAGCTCCTGTCTGAGAGCTCCAGTATTTTTCCTCCATTTAGAAGGAAAGCCACACCTGACTCCCATTCATGCATATCTTTTATCTCTTCTTGATGTCCCACAGCACTAACTAGCTATGCCAGCATTACCTAATATAACTTTCTACAGTGCTAGAAATGTTCTGTACTTACATGTGGCTACTCAACACTCAACATGTAACTAAAGCAATCAAACAACTGAATTTTTTACTTTACTTACTTTCAGTTGATTTAAAGAACCACCCAGGGGCTAGCAGCTTTTGTACTGGTCAGTGTAGGCCTAAATCATACATCCAGGTGCTTAATTAAACAGTAGACTATATTTGTCCCCCTGAACACAATTATCTTCTTGAAGTAAGTTCCTTAAAGGTAGAAAGCCAAAACTCCTCTTGGATGTATTTAATCTAATATTAAAATTAAACACAAAGCACTAAGGATAATAAAAAGCCCTTCCCTTCAAGGACAATATACAATTGAGAATTAGAGTATGTGATCATAACAAAACTATAAATTAAAAGCTTTCTGAAATGTACAAAATGCTATAGGAGGAAGCAATGTTAAACCTGTGGTGTGAGATTTTGCAGGCTTTAAGAAGCAGGTGGCATCTGTAGAAGGGCCTTGAAGGAGGAGGAGGAGGTTAACACAATAGGAAGGAACTTGAAGTCAAGGACAGCATGAGCAAAAGATGGAGGTATGATCTTCCACACTACCCAATACAATACTGGAGGTGTGTGCATGCATTCTCAGTCATGTCCAACTTCCACCAGGCTCCTCTGTCCATTGGATTTTACAAGCAAGAATACTGGAGTGGGTAGCCATTTCCTCCTCCAAGGGATCTTCCTGATCCAGGGATCAAACCCAAGCCTCCTGCATTGGCAGGTGGATTTCCGGCTACTTGGGAAGCCCAGAATGTTGGATACATTGCAACAATTTAACAAATAACTGATTAGATTTGTAGATTACTACACATGGTAATTTGGTTGTAATTCTCACCTTTCACCTGAATAGTGAAAGCCTTTCCCTTGCACCAACATGTTTTAATTGTAGAGAATGGATAAATAAGGCTAAGAGGTGTTAAGGGAAAAGTCCAAGCTCTAAGGAGTAAAGGATCCAAATTTTACAGCTCTCATCTTCCATTTCAGTTAAGGCAAAGAGGAGATAAGAGAAGGAAGCATTCCTGACCTCAATCCTGTATCCTACCTGGATTTTGAGCTCTCCCACGTCCAGGGGATCACAGCCGAGATTAAAAGCCAGAGTGGCAGGCACGAGGGCCAGTCCGTCAGCGAGAGGCTCTCCCGGCTGCCCAGAGCCGGGTCCCAGTCTTTCAGAGAGGTCCCAGCGAGGCTCTAGGACTTGGACTGTGGCCAAATGTGGCTGGGAAGTGTTCGATGACTCTCCAGCCCGGGTCACCCACACCCATTCGCCCTGGAAGAGGCCGAGGCTGCGGAGACAGCTCCGGCTCACCCCCAGTGCATCTCCAGTCCCTCCCAGAACGCCCCGTAGTCGCCGGACTGTGCCAGAGGCCGCGAAGGAAGATACCACCGGCGGGAGAGGGAGCCGGCTGCTGTTCTCTGCCTCTGGACCCAATTTGGCCCGCCCACGGAGCTCAGTCACAGCTAGCCGCGTCCCTGGACCCAGCAACCCTTGCAACGCCGGCCGCGTCTCCAGCACCCGCGGTCCGGGCACGGGCAGGGTCTCTCCGCGCCTCACTAGCAACGGCCCGACTCTCGGTCCGAGTCCGGGCCCAGATGAAGTGCCAAGCAGCGCCCAGCCCAGCGACGGGGGCCGCCGCACCTGCCGCGCCCGCACCCACGCCCCGGAGCCCAGAGCCAGGAGCTGCAGCAGCGCGCGGCTAACCAGCAGCTGCGGGGGCCCCGGGCCTTGCTCCTCGGTGCCCGCGCCGGGTCCCTCCAGGGCGGCCACCAACAGCGCCGGACCCGCCGGGCTCTCCCCTGCAGGCCTCAGCGCCAGTACTAGGCCCAGCCCTGCTGCAGGCCACGGGCCCCCGGGCGGCAGCAGCACCGTCAACGGGGGTGTCTCGGTCGGGAAGGGCTCCAGGACTCGCAAGACTGCCAGCGCCATGGTGACAGGAGACCAAAGAGCACAGCGAAGCAGGGCGGCTTCCTGAGCGTGAAAGCTAGACGTCCAGGCGACTTACACGCCGCTTCCGCTTCCGTCAGGGGCGGCCCTAGGGAAGTGGGCGGGGCGTCGGATGCAAGGGCGTGCTCCAGGAGAGTAAGCTGCGCCTTTGATCGATCCGAAAGGTGTGCCTCGGTGACAGTAACACAGTCACTGTGGTCGGGTAGTCTACGCACACTGCTTGTGAGACGCGTGTACAGGGATTTACCTTCCGCGCCTGCCTGGGGAGAAACGTCTGTCAACTAACCTCCCCGCCGGCATGTCCTCAACAGTTTATTGAATGATCAGTGAACTATCCATGTGCCCTGGACCAAAGTTGGCCCTCTGCTGGGAGCTGTGGGTGGAGTGTTTAGGAAGGTGTCCACTCCTGGAACTCTAGGCACTGAGGTTTGGAGGTTTGCGGGAAGGTTGCAGGAGGGAGTGGTAGGGTTATATGTCTCAGACAGGCTTTTGGATGTGGAGCGGCTGCTGGCTAAATTACTGCAAGTGATTCATGATTCCTTTGGTGCTTTGGTGCTGCCACACCTATTCCAACACATCCTACACAAAACCCACGTTCCAGTGTTTCTTGTTCTCCTTATTGTCCTGTTCATTCTACTCCCACCAAGCTCAAAAGAGAGACAAAGCAGCTTCCCTTTCTCATCTCTCCAAAACTAGATGCTCTCTCCAACTAATCTTTGTAGACTGGAGATCCATTCCTATTTCCACCCTAGAGAGGAGCGGACAGCAGAGCAGGCAGAAGAGAGAGATTCAAGGCTTCAGTCATGAGTACCAACCAACAGCTTGTTTCTCATCTGGGCTGTTACTTAACAGTCCTGCCTTGTCCCCACCTCCACTGCTCTGTATAGACACCTGGACACTAGCTGGCCACACTTCCAGTTATTAACAGTATACTTGCATTTAGAATCAATGCATTGGGGGATTCCCTGGCAGTCCAGGGGTTAGGACTGAGTGCTTCCATTGCAGGGGTCACAGGTTTGATCCCTGGCCAGGAAACTAAGATCACACATGCTGCTCAGTGTGACCGAAAACTAAAAAGAATCAATGGATTGGTTGGTGGCAATCTCCTATTTCTGGACCTTTCATTCTCTTCCTTGCCTTCTCTGCCCAACTTTCTGCTTTCCTTCATCTTGAGGCAGTCTTCTACTTTGTACATTTTGCATTCCTGAAAATTTCCTGAAAATCTGAGAGGTGAATTTACATATTGTAAGTTATATCTATCCCTAGAAAAACAAGAAAATATATATATATATATTTAATGTTTGATTATAGTTCCTGGAGGTACCTCTAGTCCTAAACATGAAATTGCTGAGGTGTACATCTTTAAAACAGCATGCTTTCCTGATAGCTCAGTTGGTAAAGAATCCACCTGCAATGCAGGAGACCCCAGTTTGATCCTGGGTCAGGAAGATCCGCTGGAGAAGGGATAGGCTACCCACTCAGTATTCTTGGGCTTCCCTTGTGGCTCAACCAGTAAAGAATCCACCTGCAATGTGGGAGACCTGGGTTTGATCCCTGAGTTGGGAAGATCCCCTGGAGAAGGGAAAGGCTGCCCACTCCAGTATTCTAGCCTGGAGAATTCCATGGACTGTATAGTCTATGGGGTCGCAAAGATTTGGACTCAACTAAGCGACTTTCACTTTCAGGAATGTACTAGGTACCTGAATTCACAAGGATGAATGTTCCCATTTCACGGACAGAGGAGCCTGGCAGGCTACAGTTCATGGGGTCGCATAGAGTTGGACATGACTGAGTGACTAACACTTTCACACTTTCTTAGGGGTTTTCCTGGTAGCTCAGGTAGTAGAGTCTGCCTGTAATGTGGGAGACCCAGGTTTGATCCCTGGATCAGGAAGATCCCCTGGAGAAAGGAAATGGCAACCCACTCTAATATTCTTGCTTGGAAAGTCCCATGGACCAGTGGAGCCTGGCAGGCTACAGTCCATGGGGTCACAAAGAGTAGGACACAATTGAACGACTTCACTTTGGAACTGTTATGTGTCTCTGTCCCCTGTCTCTCAGAAGACCCAAGGACTGAGAGGATGGTGGAGTGATTCCAAAGAGAATATGTCTCCTTTACACAGTATCAGGCAAGCTATGGTGTTCTTTGAGGTCTTGTGAATGGGTAAATATATCTGGTATCCTGCCTGGGTTGGCATCCACATAGATGCAAATATTCATTCACAGATAAATGTGCTTTTCTCTCAGGTTTTTCCCTGAGCAAATAATGGTTAGCATGTCGTCCACTCTGCATTACCTTGAAATCATCATTAGTCAATGAAAGTCAAATAATTGCTTCTGTAAGACAGCTAGCAGCCTAGATTTGTTGCCTTTACTTCCATACCTCTTGCTCACTCTTTAACCCACTATAATCTTCCTTCCATTCTTCTGAAAGTTTCCTGCAAAGATTATCTGTACCCTTTTTAAAAATAATTTTATTTATTTATTTTTGGCTGTGCTGGGTTGTCGCTGCATGGGTTTTCTCTAGTTGTGGCAAATAGGGGCTACTCACTGGTTGAGAGCGTGCAAGCTTATTGAGGTGGCTTCTCTTGCTGCGGAACTGTGGAGCATGGGCTCTAGGGTGTGGGTTTCAGTGGTCGCAGCTCACCAGCTCAGTAGTTGTGGGCTTAGTAGGCCCGTGGCATGTGGAATCTTCTCACACCAGGGATTGCACTTGGGTCCCCTGCATTGGCTGGTGGATTTTTAACCACAGAGAAGCCCTGATGCTGTTTGATCTTTTTTTTTTTTTTTTTTAATGCTGTTCGATCTTGATCAACCTTTCTCTGGAATTTGACATTACTGACCAATCCTCTAATACTTCCTTTGTCATCATGACACACAGTTTCCTCTCACGTCTCTGATGGCTTTCAGAAGTCATCCTGAGCTCCTCCTTTTACCACTCTCTTCGCAATCGGATTACCCACCAAATCCTGTTAGTTCTACACGTTTCCCAATGTTGTAATTTCTTCTCCATGCCTATACTGCCTTATAACACTGCTCTCCTGGACAAGGACCACAGGCTTATTCTCGAGCCTTCCTCAGGGTCTTCATGTGGTCAACCTGCTGCTGGAGTTGACTTTCTGAAACGTTCCTCCAGCCACCTCTAGTTTGGTGTAATTTATTACATTACATTGTATCTTAATCATAGGTTTATACAGGGCTGTGAACTTCACCAGACTGGGAACTCCTTTAGGGCACTGGCTTAGGGGGAGTAAGGGATCTATTTCTCGAGACGCTCAAGAATGAGGTAGCATGTCCACTGCGTTCCCAAGGGCTCGTGTCTAGCTGGTTCCCCAACCCTAGGCCTGCTGCAGTAGGAACGGGGATGCCATTCTCAAAGCTGGAACAAATCCTGGATTCTCATCTCATTTCACCCCGGTCCCTTCCTGCCAGGCTTCCCCTTAAGCCTCCTCTAGGAAACAGGCCCTCGAGGACTCCTGGGAGCTCTCGCCAATTTTTCGTAGGCAATCAGTGTCACGTTACCCTGATGAAGAAAGGTACCCTTCATTTTAGGGCTTCTTTCCTTCAATTCGGACTGGGCGGAGTCGCAGTGGGAAAAGAGTGAGACCACTTTAGAGCGGAACGAGCTGCGAAGAATGGCCGAATCCAACGCACACCAGACGCCGAAGTGCGGCACTCGGTGCAAAGCCCGGGCTTCCCTTGACCCCCGCCTCTCACGCTAAGCTCGACCCCTTTTAGGGCGGGACCTCCCACTTCAGCCAATTCTGGGAGTCGAACCCTGGCGGTTTGTACTCTTCCTTTCCAATGAGAAAAAAAAGAAGCCGCTTGCTTCCAGCGACCAATCGGGAGAGGCGGCGCCTGGTTGTCAGGCAGGTTTGTAAGAGTTCGGGCCAATTGGAACACAGACACCGCTCGACCCGGGCGCAGCGCGCAGGCGGTGGCGAAGAGACGCCGAGCGGGCCGAGTGCGGCCGAGCAAAGCCGGAGCCGGAGCGGGGCCGCAGGAGCCGGGCAGGGTCCGGACGGGCCGAGATGCCCTATAAACTGAAGAAGGAGAAGGTGAGCGTGGTCCTTTTCCCCGTGCCTCCGCCTCGGGGGCCTGCGCGGAACTCTGGGAGGGGCCCGAGCCAGGCCCGGGACAGCCCCAGACCGACCCTCCCGTCCGGCCCCCGCAGGACTCCCCGGGGCCAGCCCTCCATCCCCGCTGCTCGTTGCACCCCCAGCCTTTGCCGCAGCTGAGAAAGCTCCCACCCTTGTCCGGGATAGAGTCCGCCCCACATGCACCTCCCTTCCTCTCTCCACCGACCCCCGGCCCAGGGTAACCTCCTCCCTCCAGATCCTGCCTCGCTCCCAGGTCACTCTCCTGCTTTTTCTCCCCCCATCACCTCCCCATCCCCCACCCATTTGCCGTTTGGGACAGCCGCTTATTTGAGACAGCACCTCCCTCCAGAACTAGCCCCCCCTCTTCAGCCCCGCGCAGCCCCTTCTCGACCCTCCTCTTCTCACCCGTCTGGGCCTGGGCCTGGGCCTGCCTTCTCCACCGTCCCTTACAGCCACCTTCTCCCTGCCCGCCAAGCTCCTTGACCTAGAACAGCTCTGCTTTTCTCTCTCCTCCACCGAATCTGGCCTAGGCCCCTCCCTCTAGTTCTTCCTTCACACACAAACTTGTAAACCAGGACCGAGCCCTTCCTTCTGCTGATGGGACCTTGGAAGTCAGGGTGTCTGAGCTCCTTCAGTGCAGTCCCTCATGATACAGATGAGGAGACTGAGGCCTCGACCCGGGGGGCAGGGGAAGGGACTGGGCCAAGGTCACACAGCCTCCTGGAGGCCCTTCTGTAATATCAGGTCTCCTGACTTAAAGGCCTCCTCTGTACCAAAGCCTTGCTAACAGGCATCAGCCCACTCCCAGGTTCATCCTAAGCCAGTCACCTCTCATCATCTGGGCAGGCCCCTCCCCTTATTCCTAATTGAGGATAACCTTTGCATTTTTCCTTTTTTGGACCAGTGCTGGGTTTCTGTCTTTCCAGGACCATACTATCCTCAAATTGGGATTCTGCCCTCGCAGACAGATTAGCTTTTCTTCTTACCCCACAGGCGAGCCACCCCTGGACACCCTTGCTTTTTGTCTGGTGTCCTGACACCGGCCATTTCTTGATGTTGCCTTCTTTCACCTTCCTCCTCTACCTCCGAACTGCCTTCCCATCTTCTTCATTCCTGTCTTTCTGTACCCTCTATTTCCTGCTGCTGCTGAGGTCTGACTCAGAGGTGTGGTTCCTTTGAGGTACAGACTCACACAGAGGATGCTAGGATACCAGTTCCAGCCTCCCCCAGCTTCTTCTGTTCCCCGGGGCTGGCCCCTTGCGGTGGGCGCCAGCTCTGGCCTGGTGTTCTCTTTACCCACTTTATGACCCCAGAGGTGTCTTGCTTTCCTTTGCCCTCTGATTGGCTGGGTTGCTGCTTGTGCCATCTCTGACCTTATCAATTAAACTCCTTATCCTGGGGCCGATGGAGATTTGCCAGGCGGCTCTGATTCTGGATTGTCCCCGTAACCTCTCAGGGCCTGAGATTCTGAATGTTGGGTTATTAATGGTATAGAAGGCACTGTACCTCCTAGGGAGCTGAGCTGGGCAGGTTTGGGTGCCCCACCCAGGCCCCGTGCCCTTGGGAAGTGGGCATGCTGAGATGGTTTGGGCAGCTTAGCTGTAGGTGATACACACACAAGTCAGCCACACCAGGGGCTGAAGGGATTCTACGAGGAACGTGGAGAAGGATGAAATTCAGAGGAAGCTGATGAGTTCCTTGCCGAGCTGTAGTTTGTTTTTTTAATTTTTACTTTTTGGTCATTCTGCCCAGCATGTGGGATCTTAGTTATCCTACCAGGGATCAAACCTGAGCCTTTTGCACTGGAAGCACGGAGTGTTACCCATTGGACTGCCAGGCACGTCCCTGATCTGTAGTTTTTAGTCTAATGGAACAGATACTGTCCCATCCACAGAAAGCCTTTATCTACTAGAGGACTGAGAAGAAAATTTCTTAAGACTTTCTAGGACCACAGGTGTAAGTGTTTGGTTGGGAAAGAGTATGAGAAGGATCGGGGTGCATGGGGCCAGGCACCTCTGATCCCCTTTAAGGTGTAACTTTCTACTTTTGATTTCCATTTGCATTTGGCCTCCCTCTATGGTTGACAAGTCCTGACAATGTGACTGGAGTGTGCCTAAGTGGGGTGGGGACAGAGAGGAGAGGGGGATGGAGAATCTGTATTGCTCATTTGTCATTTCTTCCCTTTTTCCTTTATCTCTGCTGGTCCCATTCTTGGCCAAACCTCATGGCCTCTTTCCTGAAGCCCATTGCAAACCCTTAGTTGGGGGTGAGCCCTCCCTTCTCCCTTGGATTTGCAGAACACTTGGTAGGTTACTTATGGCCTTTTTGTGTTCCCTTGGATTGGAACTATGGACATGTCTTTTCTTCCCCCTGTGAAAATAACTCAGCTCCATTTTGGTTTGGCGTCTCCCTTATATACCTTAGGCGCTCAATGTATGAGTGCTGATTCAACCCTTGGGGAGATTTGCATCCCTCCTCTTCCCTCACATTCTGATCTAGGACTTCTGTCTTTTTGGTTGCTGGGTGGAGGTGTTCCCACTCCCTCCCACTTTCTTGTTCATAATAATAGTAATAACATTGACTAACATTTCATTTTTCATGTGCCAGACACTGTGCTAAAGGGAACTAGGGGGACTTCCCTGGTGGTCCGGTGGTTAAGACTGTAAGCTTCCACTGCAGGGGGTGTGGGTTCAATCCCTGGTCCGGGAACTAAGATCCTGCATGCCACGCTGTGCAGCAAAAAATTAAAAAATAAAAGCATTTAATAAGCAAAGGGAATCAGTTACTTTGATTGTTGGCACTTAATAGATGAGGAAACAGGCTCGGCGAGGCTAGGTAACTAGCCCATGATTGTGTAGCTAGAAAGAGCTGGGCTGGGAACACACGGTTGGCTGTAAACCACAGCGCCGTGTGGCACTGGACGGCTGGGCTGGGCTTAAGCAGGTGCACTTTGCCTGTTGTCCTGCAGGAGCTAGGGAGCAAGGGTGGAGGCCTGGTTCCCACTGCCCACCACCCTTCAGCACACACCCGCCCCAAGCAGCCGGGGTCTCTCTTTGGCACATTCCCTGAGAAAGATGTCTGAGCGCTGCAGGGTGGGTGGAGGGGTACAAAAAGGAACGAGGAGCCCATGGTCAAGGAGAAAAGTGAGATGTGTGTGCACGTGGGTCAGCTGTGTCCGAGAAGCCTACGACTGGGGTGTGTGCAGACGGTCGCCCCAGTGTTGCATCCTGCAGGTACCCCCCTCATCCTTTTTCTGTGCACCCCTCCCTGGCCCCTTGGCGAGGGGTGCCCAGCCTGGTCCGGGGCCACGGGGAGGGCGCTCAGCCGCCTAGAGCACATGCATGGCTCCTTCATGACTGGAGCTGCTCCACGGCTAGGAACAGCTCCCTGCCTCCCCGCCCCCAGGAAGCCTTCCCCCTGCTCCAGCCCACGCAGCGCTCACTTCTCCCTGAAATCCTTTAGCCCCCATCGGCATAATCACTGGGTTTAACACTTCTCACTGAAGGGGCTCAGGTGCTCAGAAGTCGCAGGATCTCAGAGCTCGAAGTGGTTTCTGAGGTCCCCCAGTCCCATCTGCCTTTAAGGCTCGGGTTCCTTTTGCGTCGTGCCTGGGAGGAGGCCTCAGCGCACCCTTGCTTGAGTGCTGTCAGGTGGGGAGCTGCCGCCCCCCTAGGCAGCAGGTTTCTGCAGATGCTCCAGGAGAAAAGTCTTCCTCGTTTGTAGTCTCAGCCTGTCTTCCTGACACCTTAGCCGGTGGCTCTTAGGGCTTCTGGCTCCACGTAGAACAAGTTGCATCTTTAGTCCTCATGGCAGGCCCTTCATTTATTTGTGAGGATCCCTCTAGCTCCCCCACCCACCAGGACTCCTCCCTCCCATTGTTAACTATCCCAGTTCCTGCAGCTGTTGCTCTCAGGACATGCTTTTGAATGTACTCCCAGTATGGGTTGTATTTCCCTCCTGAACAAAACCTAGCATTTGTCTTTGTCCCTCCCAAAGTCTGAGGCTCCCGACTGAACTAGAGCCTTCGGGATGGCTCCGTCAGTGCCAAGGACAGGCACTCTGCACGGGTCTGCTAACCGGATGGCAGGTCACATGAGCTGCCGTGGCAGCCACAGCACATGGATGATTTGTGTTGAGCTTGCAGTCGAACCGAAATCCCCAGGTCTTTTTCCCATTTTCCCCATCCTGTTCTCTGGGCACTTTTTGGCCTGGAGCATAGGAAGAGATGCTGGGCAGGCCAGGGCTCTGAGCCGGCAGCCAGGTTCCCAAGGGAGACTTCAGACTAGTGCATGCTCTTCCTAGCCCTTCAGGGCCTTACCCCCATTCCTGTCCTTGTGCTTGTCCACCACGGCCTTCTTGGGACGATCCCCAAACCTGTCTGCATCCTTGGGCCCCACTGATTATGCCAGTAGCAGTTACTAGTCTGGGTGCTGTTTGTGACATCCAGAAAATGCTTCCTGGTCTTCCCAGATAGCCTCGGGGGTAGGGTGATGACCAGTCCCTCTAGCCTGAGAGCCTTAGGCCCGCTCTGCCCACTTTAGCCAGAAGCCAGTCTGAGCAGCTTGTTCCAGGATGCGTTTCCCTTGAGCCTCCTCGCCCTGGTTCTTACTTGACAGAGGCCCTGACTCATACACCAGTCCTGTGAGGGGAAGAAGCATGATCATGCTGTATTATTGTCTGTTGGAGTTGTCTTTCTAACCAGATTCTAAACTCATTGGTGCCCTTGAGCTGCTCTCGGTGTACCCCGAACCCCACCCCTCTCCCCCAGGTTTAAGGTATGTGCTCAGGGGTCCTGACTGATTGATTCAACTGGATAATTGGATAAGACCGAAGGGATGTGGATAGGGCCTCCCCCTGCCTCATCAACTACTAACTCTCCATCTCCTCCTCTCAGGAGCCCCCCAAGCTTGCCAAAGGCACAGCCAAGCCGAGCAGCTCGAGCAAGGATGGTGGAGGCGAGAGCACGGAGGAGGTAATGAACGTGGGCACTGCCCCAGTTATGCTGCAGGCAGCAGCTCCAGCTGCGTGATGGCCAGTGGGATGAGGGGTCCCTGGGGGGGGGCGGAGGTTATTGGGCAGAAGGGAAGGAGGGGTTGGCCAGACCACCCTCAGGCAGCATTTCGCTTTGGCTGCTGTGGACCAAAGACGCCCTCGAGTTTTCCTGACTCCCCAGGCATTCCTATGAAAGTCAGTTCTCTGTCTACCAAAGGGTTGAGAAATCCTTTTGTTTTAGGGCAAAAAGCTGGGGGGATACTGGGTTCTGGGGAGGAGGGGGAAGTGCACAGATGCTCAGTGGGGCGGCGAGTGACTTCAGCGTGGCTCTGGGTGAGACCGGGGGTGGGGAGCGGCTAGTGTCCCTGAGTTGGGCAGGGCTGGGCCTGCTGCCCTTGGTGCTGATCAGATGGGAGCTGCTGAAGGATAGTCATGAGCAGAGGTCAGCGCAGCCTGGCAATCTAGGGCCATAAAGTAATAAATGGCAAGCTGTGCGCGCACAGGACGGGGGAAGGACTTAAGGAAGTCTGGAGTGTGTCCGTGGAAGTTTGAGAAGTGTGCTCAGTGGGACGCTTAGATGCTGAACGGTCCTGGGAGCACCCTCGGCAGGTGTCCGTGAAACCCAGAAGCCAGCGATCCTTGTTACTGTACTTCCCGCCTCCTGTGCTAAGCTGTTCAGAGGGATGGAGATGAACAGGAAATGGAACTCCCTAATTCCAGGCAGGTCTTAGGGGTTGGGGTGGCAGGTGGAGAGGAGATGGACTAAAAAGTGTTTGATTGGGCTTAACTGTGGCCCTTGATTCTTCTGGATACTCCTGGTCCCTGTCACTTCCCAAAGAGGGCCAATCACTTTTTACACCTGCAACCATCATTTTTCGCTTCACTGGAGTGGCGGGAGGCAGCTGGGAAGGTTTGCCCCACCTTACAGAAGTGGGAGTTGAGGACCACAGAGGAGGAATTCTCCTTCCTCTGCACTTACCCTGGCATCCGGACACATCTCTTGGCTTGTCCTTGTCACCCAGTGCTGGACAAGCAGTGACTTGTCCCCAGATGTGTTTCCCCTACCACGCTATGAAAGCAGCTGGCTTCCTCCTCTGTGTGCTGGGGCCCTTGGTTCACAGGAGGTCACCTGGAGATGCTTTTGTTGTGGGGGGGGGGGTGCACCTTCACCAGGCTCAGTTTCCCCTTCAGGAGCCATGACACATGGGACCTGCAGGGAAGGTGGTCAGAGCCTGCAACTGACTCCAAAACAGTGTGAGAGACTTAGAAACAGAATTAAAATACATATTTATTTGGCTGCACGGGGTCTTAGTTGCAGCATGCAGAATCTTTAGTGGCAACATGTGAACTCTTAGTTGCAGCATGCAGGATCTAATTCCCTGACCAGGGATGGAACCCAAGGCCCCCTGCTTTGGGAGCAAGGAGTCTTAGTCACTGGACCACAGGGAAGTCCCAGAAACAGGATTTAAAGGAACAGAATGGAGTAGCTCGGGGGCAGCTCCCACCTTCTGCCTGACCCACCCCTGCTCGTTCAGTTACTGGACAGACTGGCCATCGTTTTCTGGAAGCAACCCTCCTGGACCACCCATCCCATCCCCGTGCCCAGGGGATCAGGGCTTCTATATCACCCCACGGCAGCGCTTAACCACAGCGGTAATGAAACAGTTCCTGGGAATTCTTTGTGTATCAGTTGTCTCCTGTGTTAGCCTGTGAGCTCCAAGAGGCTGTTGTTCATGCCAAAGGGCCTGGCATACGAGAGGCACCAGCATTTGAATGCATTCATGAGTGCATGAGCAAGCACATCAGCTTCAAGTTAGACCTGGAAGGAGCCTGAGAGGCTAACCATGTTCTTTCATAGGCAGGGAAATGAAGGTCCAAGCTAGTTAAGAAAAGAGCTGAGACTAGCTGCTGTGATTCCTCTGCCGCCCTCTGGAAAAGGAGAGTGTTCCCTTCACCTCGGCCTCTGTTTTGTGAAACAGGGCCTCACCTGTCTGAGGCAGCTGCAGGAATTCTGCTTTGTGAATCTGCAGAAATGCACGAGGGTGGTCTTAGGCAGAGGGATGGTGGAATGGTTGGGGACCAGGCCTTGAGGCCCAGGACATCAGACGCTGTTTGACATAGTCCTTCTCTCTCTCTCTCTTTTTTTTTTTTTTTTTTGGCCATGCTGCCTGGCTTATGAGATTTTAGTTCCCCAACCAGGGATTGAACCCAGGCCCTCAGCAGTGAGAGAGCAGAATCCTAACCACTGGACCACCCGGGGAGTTCCCAGGCACAGTCCTTCTCTTGCCCGTTTTTTAGTCCTGAACTTTGGGCTCTTACAGTCAAACTTACCCTGTGTCAAACATTTGCCAGTCTTTCCAGTTAATCCTAATAATAGTTCTAGCAGCCAATGTGTATTGTGTTGAGCAGGTACTTGTGTACAGTTTCCTAGGGCAGCCATAACTAGTTACCGCCAACTGGGTGGCTTAAAATAACAGATATTTACTGTCTCAGCTCTGGAGGCCGGAAGTCTGGAATCAAGTGTCAGCAGGCCACGCTCCTCTGAGGGTCTAGGGAAGACTCTCTTCCGTGCTTTTCTCCTAGCTTCTGGTGGTTTTTTTCCATCCATGGTGTTCCTCAGCTCATGTACTCAGTTGGGTCTGACTCTTTGCTCTCCCATGAGCTATAGCCCATCGGTTTCCTCTGTCCATGGGATTTCCCAGGCAAGAATACTGGGGTGGGTTGCCATTTCCTCCTCCAGGGGATCTTCCCGACCCAGGGATCAAACCCACATCTCTTGCATGTCCTGCACTGGAGGCAGATTCATTACCACTGAGGCACCTGGGAAGCCCTTGGCTTGTAGGTGCATCGATCTCTGACTCCGCCTTCACTCAGCGGTCTCCCCTGTGCCTCTGTTGCTGTCCTTGACTCACTCAGTCACGTCTGACTCTCTGCGACCCCATGGACTGTAGCCCACCAGGCCCCTCTGTCCATTGGATTTCCCGGGCAGGAATACTGGAGTGGATTGCCATTTCCTTCTCCAGGGGATCTTCCCAGCCCAGGGACTGAGACCGCGTCTCCTGCGTTGGCAGGCGGATTATTACCTCTGAACCTCCAGGGAAGCTCCCTGTGTCTCTATGTCTGTGTCCAAATTTCCCTTTTAATAGGACACCAGTCATGTTGGATTTAGGGCCCACCCTAATCCATTGTGACCTCATTTTAACTTGATTACATCTGCAAAGATCCTGTTGCCAAATAAGGTCACATTCACAGATGTTGATGTGAATTTTGGGGGGACCCAGCGCACTCTGACCCAGGCAGGGTGCTAATTACTTTGCATGCACTTGATCTTATAATCTTCTCATTTAATCTTTACAGCACTCCCCTGAGGGCATCTGTTATCATCCTAAGCTCCATTTTACAGATAAAACTGAGGCTGAGTGATGTTAAGTAGCTTGTACTCAGCAATAAAACAGCAGAGCTGGAATTCAACCCAGGTTTGTGTGGCTTGGAAGCCAGTTCGCCTGTGTTCTTAATGACCATTTGATAGGCTGGTGAAGAATCTCAGAATGGAAAGGAGTTTTGAGAGATCAGGTCAGACCTGCTGCAAGCCAGGGGTCTTTCCTGGTCTGTCTTTGGAGAGAGCAGTTCAGTGCTGTGGACTCTACTATGCGCTGTGCCCTGTCTTGAGTTTTGGGAGCAGGGACAAAGGGAGGAGGGAATAATCTGAGTCTCCTCCACTTCAGCCTGACACCCCTGTAGACAGAGTACCCTAAAAACATTTTTGGTCCTATCAGGCCTTTTACTGAAAAACTCCTATTGTCATCTCACTGCTCACAAATTCAAATTCCCACCCTCAGCCCTCGTGGGCTGTTCTTCCAACCCCCCCTAGACTCCCCACCTTCCAATGTTATGAGCCTTATGGCTTGTGGCCCTTATTGATGTCATCCCATTAGCCTGGGGGCTTCCCTGGTGGCTCAGATGGTAAGGAATCTGCCCGCAATGCAATGCTGGAGACCTGGGTTCAATCCCTCGGTGGGGAAGATCCCCTGGAGGAGGGCATGGCTGCCCACTCTAGTATTCTTACCTAGAGAATTCCATGGACAGAGGTGCCTGGTGGGCTACAGTCCATGGGGTTGCCAAGAGTTGGACATGACTGAGCAACTAACATGCACATTAGCCTGGACTGCTTTTTTCCCTCTCCTTTCACTCTTTTTATTTTTATTTTTTAAATTTTTATTTTATTTATTTATTTGACTGCACGGGTCTTAATTGTGGCTTGCAGGATCTAGTTCCCTGACCAGGGATCAAACCCAGACACCCTCATTGGGAGTGCGGAGCCTTAGCCACTGGACCACCAGGAAAGTCCCCTCTCCTTTCATTCTCTGCCTAAACCTGTGTTTATCCTTTAAGAGCCAAAGCAAAAGCCACCTCTTCAGGGATGGCTTCCCTAATTCTTTAGGCCGCATTTGTCACTCAGCCCTCTGTGTTCCCAAATCTTTTGCCGCTCTCTGGTTTTGCATTGCCCATGTACTAATGATTGCTTTCTTGTCTGTCTTGCCAACTGAACTGTGAGCGCTTTGAGGGCAAGGGCCCTACTTTATTCTTTTCATCTCTAATGTGTAGTGTGACTCGTGAATAAATGAAGGAAGGACTGCATTAAGCACAGGTGGGTAGAGCTAGCTCCTGGTGTCAGTACAGGAGAGAATGCCTCTCTGATTTCCAGAGTTTTAAACTACAATGATCTTCATTCAGCCAGTTAATTCACCGTGCAAAAGCTATAACATTAATCTTTCATTTTTCACTGATAATTTTATCTTTCATCTTTCTCCTACAATACCTTCTATATAGTGCTTAAATTATATTTCTATGTGCCAGTTTATGTTTAAATATATGGGTTTAATGATTACCGGTGCCTGTGTTAGGATCAGCTTGAAATGGGATTGGTTCAGAGTGGGCAAGTATGGTTGCAGTCTCTCCTGAGTGTGGATATGATATTTC